GCACTGCGTCCGCACGGAGGCGCTTCCCCGCGGTGAATAACGCGGCAGCGCTCGCCGGATAAATCTGCACGCGGCTCGAGAGCGTAAGACCGAACGGCGCGCGCGGGGCGAAAACCGGAGCGCGGAACTTATATCGGCACGTCGAGTCGGCGGCGACGAGCGCTAAAGGAAAAATGAGAAAAGTACTGGACGAGTCACGAGCGCTATCGGGAATCCCGCGTCGTGCGAGCGCGCTCGCGCGGATTATGGCAGAGCGGGAGGGCCGTTATTCATGGGGCGGATTCGCGAATCACGAGCGTGATACGATGGCCGCGGCGACGGCCTCCGCGCTCGCCGCAATTAATCATCGCCGCTCCGCTCGCGAGATCCACGATGCCGCGCGCTTCTCCTTCGGCTGTGGGCCGACCGAAGAGAGCCTCGTGGCCGCGCGCGGAAAACGCCTCGGCGCGGGAAAGCCTCGCCGACACCTGACGAACGAGTTCGCCCGATGGCCATGTCGAAGTTTTGGATCCTTCCCCGCGTACCTTGCCAATCAGCGAGAATCATGATTGTGGATAGTGAAGGCAAATCTGCAGGCACTACGGACATTCGACTCTGGGATATTGAAAGAAACGTTCGCGGACAGACGTAAATGTCGATGTGATTAGAATATATGGGTAGCGCTGTTCCCCATTAAATCATCGGCCACACAGCGTCCACGCGCGCCAGTCGCCAGTCGCACGCGAGATCGGCGATCCATACAAGGCCTGCAAGCCGCTGCTCTCGCTCGCTCTCTTTCTCTCTCTTTCTATCTACACAGCGGGAAGGGAGCACAGCTCGAGATACCGCGAAGCCGCATGAATGAAGCTAACGCCGTTTCTCCTTCTCCAGATCTCGCAACTGCTGCTGCTGCTGCTTCTTCGCTCTTTATTTTTGCAAATTTTTGTCCCACGAGCTCTACTTTCGCTAGCGGTAGTTTTGCCGCTTCGCACTGTTTGGTGTCTCGACCGTGCACTGTCTGCTCAACCTTTTCACTGCATTCAAATGTAGGACAGCTAAACAGGTGGGAGACAAAGCCGAGCGAGGATATTTCGCAGTGACGCGAGTTCCAAAATACGAATTAAACGGTTGAAAATTTGGACAGCCAACAGGCATATGGATGGATCAACGCACCTCTGCCGGCGGCCCGCGAGATCCCATCTGGCGAGCTGTGATCGTATCCGCCGTGTTTAGATAGCTGCTCGCTCTTACACGTTGTTTTTCTTTTGCTGCAGCGCCGGAAAAAAAGGGATGGTCGTCCACGTTAAGTTAAATTACGCGAGTAGATTTGGCTCGTGTGATTTAGCGCACGAGTGGGAGGAACAACCTTGCCGGCGATGGGCGACACAGTCGCGCAAGTTTGTTTTGGGCCGAGAGTGCATTTCGATCGCCGTGGTATGATTTAACTTGGTAGGAGGCCTTGGCGATTCGAGCGCACTCTTTTCGCAGACGCGTCAGTGTGGAACTGGCTCTCCTCGGCGATGCCACCACCGCGAGTCACCCGCACGCGCGGCAATAACAGACGAAAGTGAGAGTAGCGTGGGCCGATCGGATCCTCCTCGGCTGCGAGTGTCTGCCGACGTTGCCAGTGGCGATTTGGTGCTCCTACCGAGCGGATAGCAAAGTGTCGCGTGCGCGCGCGCGCTCGTGCACAGGCCTTTCCTTCGATTCGTCAATGCCGCAGGCGCTTATATGGACACGCTCGAGCGTTGCCGCGAGCAGCACGGCAGGCCAGCTGCACTTGGTCACCGTTCGCCTGTGATCTAGTGAGTGTGACAGTGCCGAGTTTTCGGCTGATACGCCGCGCGGACGCAAGCGCCGAGGTCCTGGTAGCTTCGCCTCGCTCTACGCAGCGCGAAATGCAAGCGGGTCGCGACGAAAGCGCAGGCTGCTAAAACGGCGCATCGCGGTAGCGCCAGGCCGTCAAACTGGAAATTCAGGGCGCGCTTCTAAACGCGCGCGCCTTTTTCGGCGCGCGAACGTCGGTCCGCGGCCAGCCTTTCTCTCGCGCTGCCGTCCGTCACTTCGTGGCCTTCCGCCCTTTGGGATATGTACAGCGCGCGCGCGCGCGATAAACTTGTCACTCTGGTCCTTGCGCGGCGAGCAGGCCCCCGACCGTTTGTTTGCTTCTGCGATGAGTGGATCTTTTACGCTTCGTGGAACTTTGCAGTTGCTTTGTGACGCAAACCTTGTTTCGACGACACTTCAGTGCTGATTGTTTGACGCCTCGGAATTGCTTCCAATAACTTTCTTTAAATGACCGTTGGCATTGAGCAATAAAACTCAATATCGATCTTTATCAGTTGCGTCGCAAATCTCTGGACAGTTGCGTTGACAATTCGAGCCATTAGGCAATGAAACGCGATGGTACACTATCGAGCAAAGTCTAATTAAATTCCCTCGTTCTCTTTCTGTCGATGGCTCGGGGAAATGAAATGCTTAGATCGCTCGGGTGCGAATAATTTTCTTTCCGACGGAAAGCCACCTGCGACATCGGCGGATCGGCTTGGCTTTGCACTACGCAGCGCAATGTCAGCACACACGGCACGCCGAGATGCAAGGTGCAAGTGCAAGCGCAGGCCGCGAGCTGCACGCATAGCTCGACCGTTAGCTTGGCGAATCTTTTATTGGCGCGTGGGGCCTGCGGCCACGCGAACATGCGCGCGCGCGCGGTCGGGGCCGGCGGCCCCGGGGTAATGCGCATTTCCATGCAGTCGCGCACGCGATTCGATTACGCGTGACTCGCCGCCTCGCACAGCCAACTCCACGCACGCGGCGCAACTAGCTGTGTGGTCCGGACTCGCAGGCTTGGGCTGCCTTTCTTCCCTCCCTGAAAAATCCCCTCGAGATCGCGGCCGGACGATTAATCATACAATTGTTTGCCTTCGCTTCTCGCATCTTCGGGCTCGCGCTTGTGCGAGCTCACGCGTTTGCTGGCTTGCGAATTTACGCTGTGTACGAACGAGTTACATATCGCCGATGTTCGTGCACCCATCGCGTGCGACTTGAGCAATATTTTCTTGGAGCGATTCCAGTGATCTCGTACGAATTATTCAACCGATCTCGCGACCTAGGCACTTCGTCACTCTAATATTTCTTGCGAGGCGATCCGAATTTCGAGAGCGTCGACGACGACACGCTCCTCGAGAAGCACGCAACTCAGGCGGATTCCCCGTTCCGCGTGACCACATGGCCCCTTTGCAATAGAGATTTTTCCGCCTGCACACGCCGATTACATGTAAATCGACGCGCACACGATACGGCGGCCGCCGCCAGCCGCAGCCAGCTTTATAATTATTCGTAAGCGCGCGGGCGTGCGGCCGCGACCACCGAGCGTAATTGGCAATATGACGCGACGGGACACTTGGACGCCGTCTTCGCAACCCGCGATGCCATTTGCTTGTTGTACCGACCGGCTCGCGCCGAGCGACGCGCTAAACAAAACGACGACGCTTGCTTCTTCCGTCGCTTACGCACCACACCGATCAACGCGACAGATTAATGCAATATAATTGTAGCATTTTGAATATGTGCTTTATTTAAATTACTTTCGTATATAAATTAGCTGCTTTTCGTGTACCCTCGATGAGGCAATTGAGCCTTTTTTTTTCTCGCGTTACGTTGCTTCGAAACTGCACGCGATATTTTGACCGCAGGCCCGATAAAAGTGCAAAACGACAAGCGCAAGGTAGGCGGTGCGGCGTGAATTGAATTGGGACGAGAGACGAAACTGACGAAGCAGCCTCCGACTTCGAGGCGTGTCGGATGCGCGCAGTCGTTCCATCGTCAGTCGTGCCTTACAAAACTTCTCGACAATCGTTCGAAAAGCTTTTCGTTTGGACGCCACTGTCTTATCATCGCTCGGCACTGCATCAGTCGTTAGATCCAACCGCGATTATTGTACCTCTTGCAATGCGGAGCTCGAACACGCGTAATAATTGAATTGTATATATCGGATACATCGAGTATCCGATGAAACAACCGCTGCCTCGATAGACACATTGCGCATAAAGATCTCAAGCGGCACGTTAAGCTCTCGCAGGGAGCCCGCAGCGAAAGACGAGCGGATAGGTGCTTAGATGCATCGGAGTGCATACGCACTCGGCAGCCACTTGCCGAGCAGCACTCGGCCCCTCGAACTCTCTATCTCTTTCTCCGGCCCCCGCGAGCAGCTTTCTTCCGTTTCTGCTTTTTGCCTCGTAGCTCCCGTCCCTTTCGCACGCTGCGCGTTTGCATTTGACTCTCTCCCGTCGGATTCACTCGGCTGTTCGCGCAGGCGCCTTTGGAGCCGAATTTTACAATACGCTCGTGCTTTTGGACGGCGTTCCCGAGAACGAGGAAGCTGCGCGAGCGGCCAATTGCATTTCGGATCGTGTATAGTGCCGCGCACAACTTTGAAACGGCTACTGCCACGCGAGTCGTCACGATCTCCGCCATAGCCAAGCGAGGTGCTTTAAAATACGGCAAGATCAGCTGGCGGCGTGCGCGCGAAACGCAAGTGACGAGTGGAGTTGCAAAATCGTTGCGCTGCCGGCTGCGCGGCGTCGGCGCGAAAAATGCGCGGCGTAGGTGTGCGTGCCGCGCGTAGAGAAAGAGAGCAAGGGAACTCGTTCTCGCTCCGTTGAGCCGCCACTAAAATTAACTCGCTATTCTCGCTAGCCCGAAAACCCGACAAATTACGCAACGCGCTCGAGACTTCTCCGCGCAAGGTTTCCGCAGCTATGCCGTCGGCTGCCGCCGCCGCCGCCACGTGGCAGGTAACGCTAATTGGTCAGTTTTAGCGGCTACGCTTGGTCATAATGCCTCAATTTGTCGCTCAGCTCGCGGTTATCGCGAGCAGTCCGTTGGCTCCGTGCTACTGCTAAGCTCGTAAATGCCACACGTCAACTACGCGAAATTAAAGTTGGACGATTAATCGGCTTGTTGAAATTTGGCGATCGGACGGCGTTCACTGAAAATTGGGTAATATTTTGTTGGTGCAGAAGGCCGTGAAACGCCCTTGTCGCCACCACCAGCCTCGAGCTCGTCGGCGCAGACGTCACCCAGGGGACTGGGCTACACCTGTGGGCCAATCGATGGCTCGCTTTACGCCGTGGTCCAGCAAACCGGTAGCTCCGGCAACCGGGATGCAGCAGCAGCTCGCAACTCACCGCTGACTGTGTCTATGGACAGTGGCATCAGCAGCGCACCGCCGCAGAGATCCAGTCCTCCGGACCCGCAGGAAGCCGAGAACCAGCTGCATGGAGACCTCGACAAGCTTCTGCAGGATATGATGCTCACTGTTGAGGTGCGTATGGTTATTCGCAATATTTGCAGTGCGACCTGTAAAGTAGTGCGACCTCGAATCGGTCAGACTGATGTTCGGTTGACGCCGCAGTCCATGCCAGATCCGCCGAGCGAAGAGTACAATCGAACGACTAGAAGTGGCTCCGCGAAACTGTGCGTAGTGGAGCAGCCGCGCAGCTACAGCACCCAGCCGAGCAGCCCATCGACCTACTCGACCCTCAAAGACTCTTACCGCAGCTACAACAGCAGCAGCAGCGGCAGCGCGAGCAGCAGCACCGTCAAGGAGTCCTCGCCGCCCTACAATTCCAGTAGCAACTACAGCACGCTCAAGATGCGACCCTCCTATGACGCCGTCGACTACGAGCGAAAAGCCGCCAGTGCCGCCACCACCGCCGACTCGTTCTCGCCCCCGGGCAACATCGACTACATCGACGAGGACATACCCTACCACGCGCGACAGACCAGCCAGCCGTTCTCTTACGGAGCCACCAACGAGATGATCAAGCACCAAAAGCTCTCCTCGCCGTCGCTGGTCAGGAAGGCCACGGCCACCAGGCAGACCAGGCCCGGCGCCGCGCCAGTCGTCGATCTTGACGACATTCTCGGGGAGAGCAGCGGCGCCAGTGCCAGCGGCAGGAGACCCATCAGCCCGATGCAGAGCAACACACCCGACCCGCCGCCCGAGTTTGCCAACGGATCGCCGGGCGTCAAGTCGCCCAGTCCGGAAGCTGCCGATGGGTGAGTACGCGCATTTTCGACCATTACCGGCGCTCTTGGCCCACGCGGAACTTCAAGCTGACGCGCGACATAGGCCAAATTGCAAAGTATATTTATTGTCCCAGAAAATCTAAAGTCAAGAGCGTCATTGCGATCGCTCGGCGCGTGCCTCGCGATGCCTGCGCCGCCCAAAGAAGAAATCGTCTCTTTGATCGACCGGCGGATCTTTAGTCAAGCCGCATCCTTCGTTGCTCTCTAAAAATAGTCTTGGAAAATGGAATTTTTTTTCTTAGCATACATCGCCGAGAGAAACATCCGAGCACCGTTTGAAATTCGTTAAAAGATACTCGATTTCTCCTCTCATAAGCCGCCGTTGCGATTGGAGGATTCGCCGTCGAGAAAGAAAAGCAAATACGGAATTCAGAGAACGTTCGCAAGAAAAGAGAAACGCTCTTTCTCCCTCGAAATCTCGTAGCTTCTCGCGCACTCGAGAACTAGCGAGAACAAACAAGTGCGCCGTTTTCTCGGGAGAGATGAAAGGGAAACGCGCGGGAAGCGTTTAATAATATTTAGCGATATTGATGCGGAGAAGCGGTTCTGGCGCAATACACAGCTCGCGGCGTTTGGGCGGCGCAAGTAAGATTAATTTAGCTCTCTCTCTCGGCGCAAATACGGTGACTCTCGACGTCCCATTTTTCGTACACCGCTTTCTGCATTGTTATAGGCGAGCTTTTGCCAATTAATCTAGGCGGCAAACGAAGTGTGCTTCGTTTCGACAAGCAAAACGAAAAAAGCCGACTGGTGCCTATTATAAAGCCTCGGCTATTTCGATCTTGGGAGTCGCTCTCTGACATAATTATATAAATATAGCGTTAACGCGCGTCGTGTGCGTCGCTCGGCCAGTAGGAAAACAAGGAGACGGAAAATGTTCCCTGCCTTCTTTTCTTTTTCGTTTCTTCCTCGTTTTCGCGCGCACGCGGACTTGCGCCGTCGCCTCCAGCTGCCACCTCTCTCCGCTTGCCTCTTTCCACTTTTAACCGAAAATTCGGGAGGCCAAACTACAAAGGGCCAGAACCGGCCGCCACACGGAAGTCGTTAGGCCGAGGTGGTCGTTGCGTCCCCAATTCTCGGAAATCGAACCAGTTTTCCGGCGCGACGGCGGCCTAATTGACTTTTAGCGTATGTAGTGCATTGCGTTTGTGCAACAGTCAGCTGTAAGTGGTTAGAACTCGCGTCGGCAGTTGCCAACTGGATTCGGGTTGTATCCCGTGAAAATTGCTCAAACTTATCGTCGTAAGTAGAACAAGAGCGCACCTTCAAACGCCACGGATATTAATGAGCGGCGCATGTTAAATGCGAAAAAGACGTCACGCGCACGCTTGAGAGTGGCTAGGCGGTCGCGTTACTGCTCGCCATCAAGCACGCCTGGCAGGATCTGCTAGCCCGTCGTTGCTCGCGCAAAAACTGTCGAGCTCTCATTGGCGTTATCCATTTGCGACGTCCACTGAACATGCCTCTTCAACGTCTCTGCGCGCGGAGATGATCGGCACGAACAATCGCGGCCTGAAACAAGTTGCGCCCGCGTTGCCTCACGCCCATCAAGTTCGCCGCACTCGACTTGTTGCACAGACGCGGCTCTCCTCGATATCACGGCGACGTAGATAGAGCCAGTCGTGCGTAGATAGTCGTGCGTCTTGGCTCGGGACGATTGGAGATGTCGATGTGCCGAGTGGACGTCGACAAAAGACGTCTAGCTGGCTGAATAACCGGCGTGGCGTTACAACGAGCGCCAGATGATTATCGCGCGACGAGCCGAGCCCGCGACCCGCGCGCCGCTCGTATTCCGCTCTGAGCGTCGCTCAACAATCTCCCTGTCTATCGGTTTGCACCTTGTTTCGCGCGGACCGTGCGCGTGGCATCCTTTCGCGATTTCGCAAGCTTCGCCAAGCGCGTTTCTCGAGGCGTTGACGTCGTCGCAAGCTTGCCGCGCGGCGAGCGTCGATGGCGAGTTCGAAGCTCGCAGCGGGTGCTATAGGTGGACGAGTCGTCGCGCCGCTTTGGTTGTACTAACTTTTAGCGGGAGCGATTGCATTATTCGATAATCGCATTGAAAAATGAACGGCCCCGAGTCGCATTACTCACCGATCAATTACCATCTCGATCATATCCAATTACGATTATCCATCCGTGTATTCTGGGTCGCCTACGCCACACCTACTCCCTTCCTCTTCTCTGTCCCCCCCAGCACACGTATGTGCATATAGGCGCAGATCACTCTCGCAGCTCTTTCGCTCATCGTGTCCCGGCGGCAATATTTCAGAATGTCCTGGCTGAAGCAGCAGCAAATGAAGCTGGCGGCGAGACGAGACGAGCGCAGCCCGGCCAAACTCTGGCGCCAGGAGAACGGTAACCGGATGATCGGCGAGCTGCGCAACGTGCAGCGCTCGCGGCTCCGCCACGACGGATACGCCAGCGACTCGGCTGTCCTCGACGACGACGACGACGTATGGACGGTCAACTCCGCCCAGCAGGTACCCGAAATACCTTTGTCGCTCTGTCCTTTCTTCTCGCGCCGATTATTCGTCACACGGGCTCTGTCTGCTTTCCGGCGCCCATAGATATCGGCTCGATCCAACAACACCTCGGCGCCGGCCAGCCCCCTCTTGCCGCAGCGCTCGATCAGCCGGAAATTGAACGGAAGCGTCGTCGGCGCTGCGGGCTTCGGCCAGGCCATCAGGCCGCGAGCCGAGAGTGTCAACGAGCGATCCTACGGGCCTAAACGCGCCTACGAGTTCCGCAAGTACAGCGACAGCCACGTAAGTGTCCGAGCGAAAAATGCTCGTGCTTTGGTTCTTTTTCATGTCTCACACTTGATGACGCATCTCTTTGATTTTCTAACACCCTTTACACACTCGTTAGCATTAGACTAGGCAGTGACTGAATTAATAGATTGCAGAGTATATAATACGATCTACTTGTTATGATTTCAATCATGGTTTTTTTATCTTTTGTTGATTAAACTGTGCATTTTTTCATACATCGTACTTTATTTATTATGTATAGCATTTTCGTTGCACTAATTACTATTATTACACTGAACTGTAAACTGTAAATTTCACTAGCTCAAATTATACCGATTAGTGCGTGTCTAATGACTCAATTATGCATCTGCATGGCTCTTTAATACTGGAACGAACGTTATTAAAATCATTCCATCATACGCCCAAACACGAACCAATGAAAGTAGTAGTACGAGCCTGAAACGCAGTGAATCATTATGAAACGAGAGTGATCGCGTTGCGGAAAGTGAGAGCCGCCGTATGGTAAGCATGTTGGCTGAAAGAGCGAGGCTTCGCTTTGCGTTTGCAGAATCCGCCGCTGCACAAGCACGCGAATGGCAACGTCAACGTCAACGGCAACTGCAATGGCGACGGCAACGACAGCGCCAGCGGCATCGCCAGCCCGCCGATTCCGCCGCGACCAGAGTCGCGGAGCGACAGCTTTGCGCGCACAGAGTCGTTCTTGCGCGAGCACGGTCGACTGCTCGGCAGCAGCCTGAGTAACCACAGCAACGGCACCGCCAATGGAAACGGCAACCACGTGGCCTTCGACCTGGACAGCGTCACCTCGTCGTCGCGCTACCCCTCCAGGCCGGAGTCGCGAAATCAGTACCACGTCGGCGCGGCCAACGGATACAAAAAGGACCAGGGCCTGCTCTCGATGCTCGACCAGCAGCAGTCCGAGCAGCACCGATACCACCACCAGCAGCAGCAACAGCACCAACTGCAGAAGAGCGCCAACGACTCGGCCGATCCTCTCGTGAGCCTCATTCAGTCGCTGGCCGAGATCAGGCCGCTTTCGGAATCGCTCGTAGCACCGGCTCACGCCGGCATTACTAGCACTACTAACGGCTCGCATCAGCAACCGTCGGCCGGCTATCTTACGGCCGGCAACTGCTCCATTAACACCTACACCATCCCTAACCACTCGTCAAAAGCATGGCAGAGTTGCACTACACAGGTTCGTGATCGCCATTCACCGCCACACCACGCTAAATGCCTATGCCCTCCGCCGCCGCCGCCGCCACCGCCATCGCTTAGACTGTCGATATACACTTCCAGTTTTTCTTTGTCCCTGTTATCAATGCATGCTCGCGTCGCGGCCAATCATCGTGCAAAGGTTTCCGTTGCTTTTCGTAGCTTTTCTCGTCAGTTCCATTTTGCGTCGACAAAGAGGGCGAATGGCGTCTGTCCACGGTAAGATCGAAGAGAGCTGAGCTTTGAATGGTTCTTGGGATTGCGCTGACCGATCTTTTCGCGGAAGGATCGTGCCGGCATTATGGTAGATGTTCCGACGGCCGATCTACCGCCCGAAGTAACGTCCTTGACCGTGCACTTGCAGTCGCACAATGACTCGCCGTCATCGTGGACCGAGAGGAGCGTCAGTCCAGGAAGCACACAAGGCGTGGTCGGAGGCAGTGCGTCGAGACCGCAGACACCTGCGTTCCCCGTGCACCCACGTACCCCCTACGTGAACAACGCCTCGCCCAGCGTCACCTTTGCCTCGGATCGCATCTCGCATCAGCAGCAGCTCGCTACTTCCAACAATCTCAATCACAATCACGCGGTTGCTCTCAGCTACGCAAACAACAACAACAACTTCAGCGAGAACAACAACAATTATGCTGTTGACAGGGCGATCTTTATTGAAGAGCGCAGAGACGTCAGAGAGACGGGGCTTCCACCCAAGAGTCCTACAACGCAGCGGTACGTTTGTTTCTTTTTACGATTCCTCCAATCGATTGTTTCTTATTCTTCATTCCCTGGCCACTTCGGACGATCGAGATAATATCGATCACGCTTTCTCATCTTTCATTTATTGTTGTGATCATTTTTACCATTATTTCTTTTTTTTTTTGACGTTAATGATTTTGTGTATACATATAGACGGTTGAGTTTTCCGGATAGTGGCTCGGTAATCGAACCGCGTAACAAGCGATGGCTACTCACTAAGCAATCGGCGTCATTCGACTATAGGTAATATTAATAAGACAACGGAGCTATAAATAGTAAATACAAAGGTCTTGCACAAAATTAATGTTTCAATGTCGTGATTTCTAACACTCTACCACTTGTACTCTGCCAAAATTTCATTGCTTACTCTGGAAATGTATACCAAGTAGCCTAGTCGTATTCTGAATAAAAATCTGATGTGTCGCATTTTACACAAGAAGCTCAAACTTTCTTCTTTCAATGTCTACGAACTTATCACTACGCTAACTTGAATGAATTTAGCAATTTTCGAAGTTTTCTTCACTTAAGTCTCTTTCACGCATTTCTAAATCTTTAAGGTTTCTATATGTGGAATGTATATTTTAGTCGTTGACGTTCTTTTATAAAATGTGAATCTGTTAGCTGCTGTTATATGTATATGAAAAGCTATGGTGAACTCGAAAATAATATTTGTAAATTACAGCAAGGACCGGCCTGTCTCTCCACTGGACGGACTGATAAGTCACAACTCGTATGGCCGAGGTCCTGGCACTCCTACTCATGCCGACTATGGACAGACTCCAAAGGTAATCAATAGTCAGATTAATGATATTGTGACCGTTTCAACGGATACATATTATTTCAGTGAATTTTCGCAGTCATTAAATTGTCCGCTTTTGTTTCTCTCTCGTTTATTTTAGTCCAACAGAAAATCAACCGCAAGTATAGTCACTACGGTAAAAAGTGTTCTTATTGAATGAGTTTCTACGACAAAGATTTTCCTTAAAAGAAAAATAGTCCGACCTCAATTAATGTTAGCCTAATAACGTATCCTTGAGTGAATTATGTGAAATAATCGTGCAATGTACCTATCGATGTCCCTTTGACACATTTTGTTCAGTGGAACGTAGGTGGCTAAAGTAGAATTTGTTGATGTTGCAGAGCGCGGTATCTTACACCTCTATAAGCAGCGCTGGTGGACACTCGTCCTCGCAACTTCAGTATTACGGATCCCGCAGATCGAGTGTCCATTCAAACACGGAGCCACATGAAGTAGCCGATGCAAACGTCAAGTTCGTCCGCGATACCAGTAAAATCTGGTACAAGCCCAACATCTCTCGCGAACAAGGTACTGCCACTACTGCTTCGCGTCTGCCCATACGAGGCGTCACTTTCTACTCGTTCGCTCATCCAAACTCGAACTGTGCCGTAGCCATCGCGATGCTGCGCAACGCGCCGCCAGGAATGTTCGTCGTGCGCGACAGCAACTCCTTCCCAGGAGCCTTCGGCTTGGCCCTGAAAGTGGCGACGCCGCCGCCGGGAGTGCCGAGCAGCCCGAAGGATCCGTCGAACGAGCTGGTGAGACACTTCTTGATCGAGCCCACCTCGAGGGGCGTGCGGCTGAAGGGCTGCGCCAACGAGCCCGTGTTCAGCTCGCTGTCCGCCCTCGTCTACCAGCACAGTCTGATGGCCATGGCGCTGCCGTGTCAGCTGCTGCTTCCCGAAGCGGAGGCCGCCGCTCGCGTCATCGAGTCACAGGCCGGCAGCAGTCCTCAGCAGCTGCTGGCCCAAGGAGCCGGTAAGTGCCCGAAGGCGTCTCCTCGCCCTGCCGATAGCTGCGCCGACCCGCGCGATAACGGGTAAATTCTGTCGCGCAGCCTGCAACGTGCTCTACTTGTTCACCATGGACACCGAGTCGCTGACCGGCCCGCAAGCCATCAAGAAGACCATCACGGCGCTGTTCGAGCAGACGCCCAGGCTCAGCGCGACCATCGTGCACTTCAAGGTGTCCACCCAGGGCATCACGCTCACGGACAACACGCGCAAGCTGTTCTTCCGCCGACACTACCCCACCAACAACATCAGCTACTGCGGCCTGGACACCGAGGAGCGCACCTGGGATTTCCGCGCCGAGAACGGACGAGCCCTCAGCGAGCAGTGCGTATTTGGCCTTGCCGGTTCTCCGGGTGATCTGCCGCGACAACGAGCCGTTGATAACGTTCTTCTTTCTTTGCCCCCCGACAGCCGCTGCTTTGGATTTGTCGCGCGCAAGCCGGCCCACAAATCGGACAACCAGTGCCACATATTCGCGGAGCTCGAGCCCGAGCAGCCAGCCACGGCGATCGTCAACTTCGTCAACAAGGTCATGATGAGCAGCGCCCACGTCAAGGCCAACATCGTCTGAGAGTGGCGATAACGGCGATTTTTTAAGGCCTGCTCACTCTGACACGTGCTCGACCCTCGTCCTTCCCGCCCTCCGCCCTCGCCGAAAACGCATTTCGGAGCAGTAGTCTGGCGCTGGTTCGCACTCGGCTCACGAGTAACCTAATTATCCGGACTTCCAGCGTCTCGCTGATCTTCCTACAATTTCGAACGAACCTTTACAATGCGCTCGCTAAACAAGACTTACCATGAAAATTACACCCTACGTGTTCCGCATTACCTCCACGTAAAGAGTAACAGTAGTCTATGAAAATGAAAAAAAATCGTCGTTGTCAGTTGTCCACCAACACTGAAGGTGTACTGAGACTGCGCATAAAGTATAACTATCACGACAACTCTGCATGCGCTCGTGTACCGTTGTTCGATAGTCGCGAGGTGTATCGCCATCATTCTAACGAACCTTATGTTGGCAGTTGCAAGTAGTCATTATGTATACCCGTAATGATTAATAATGTAGAGTAACGTACGTCCTATCGTACTGTTTTGTTAGGGTAGCTGTAATATCTATGGGAGGAGCTGAACAGAAAAGCAATATTGAAAACTGTATATAACACACGAGCCTTATGTAAGAAAGGTAGCGGTAATGTGACTGAGAAAAATAGAGACGCCAGCGTTGATTCAATTGAACAGCCATAATAAAAAAGTAAGTTATTGTAGGGACAACAAGTCGAACCATTAGTTTCACAGGTTCTTTATGGTACGATTTTGTGAAATAGTGGTGAAACGCTTGCTTTTAACTTTATTTGTAAAATATTTAGAGGAATCGATAGAGTTAATATATAATGTGACGATCTTGTAAAATAAACAATTTAAGTTGTGCCTTATAAATAATATATTTACATTGTAGACAATGAATAGAAAACCTTGTGTAATTTATGACGTTATAATTTTCAAATCCGATTCTTAGTCATAAACTGAGATGATCTAGTGCTATAATCTACCAGATTCAAATTTAAACGATTACTTGAAGTATTCTCATTAGCAATCTGTTTTCTTGACAAATCGAGCGGGAAGCACACGAATCGACACCGTTGTGTCAATAACGATGAGCCACTTGCAAGCTTGTACCCGTGGCGAGACTATCATGATATTTTCTCGGGTTCTTAGGACTGCTCGAGAGAAAGAGAACTATAGTATCACAAGTATCTCTAGATAATACCACTAGACTCTTGCCATTGTTAGTACTCTATCCTGTTAGAGTTGACGTAGCATTATTGACATCCCCGTTTCGATTGCCACGGTTCACGGTTTCGGGACAAAGGAAGACAAGAAACACACGAATCTCATTCTCAGTCTAAAACTTTGAAAAATATTATCAACAGTCAATTAAAGGATAAATTGTAGGTACGACAATATTTTCGACGCGTTTGCATAGAAAACGCGCGCTTCCTCGTTTATTTATTTTTTTATTGCTTTTGTGAAATCATCGTTGCCATCATTATTCATTGATTTAGGGATGGACGAAAATTGTTTTGCGATACTATATGCGCACTAGTCAAAATTCAAGCAATAATAACGTCCGGTCACTTTTACTTGTATATGTATCTCAACTGTAACATATTAGTGCTTTACGTGAATAATATATGTATATTTTTATAGTTTTACGACGTAAATGATGAACTATTTTGGACATTATTGTCGGCCTGTCGCTCGACTTCATTTTTACTGTGTAACATTTCCTTCTGCCTCAGTCCACACGTATTACTAACAATAATTTTATTGTATTTTTCTTGTAATTTTATTTCAGTCATTATTGTAATTATTCATAATATAATTATGTACGCTTTATTCGATATATGTTTGTGCCACGATTTTATTGTCGTACAAGAGTATAAGTATACAGCATAATTCCATGTGTAACAATAAAGTATATTCAGTGCACAATAATAATTCAGTGTTAATTGTTCATCTACGATCCAAGTTTTCATTTTTATTTATTATCAGCTGAAAACGCAACTCTGAGCAGGACTTGATCAAGTCTGAGTCAACGCCGACTAACTGTAAAGACAAATCTGGCGATCGGACAAACACTTCAGAAAATCCAGTCAAACAGTATTTGACATTTCCCCCGTTAGTTTCAGCAGACACTTCACATACGCACTGAAAACGCCTCAATGAATTATAATAGATCAGAAGAAATTGTAGGTTGTTCACTCTGCCATAAACCGTTCGAAATTGTGTGTACGCCATGACATTTGCGTCAGCAATTAGTGTATCGAGAACACAGTTGAGTCGAACAATGTGTCGACCACTACGGTTGGACATTATTAATTATGACTCGGTTTTGAAGAACCGTCACGGTCATATCTGCCTTTGGACTTACGCTGGATCTGGACAAACGAGAGTTTTTTGTCGGTTCCCGAAAAGAAACATTCATATATTAATAGAAAAATTTACAGTCATCGTTATTAAGCGCTGCCAGTAAGTATAAGCGCAAGTGGAGCCTAAGTCTCGTTGGGAAATGCGACTCTTTCTTCTGTAATGAACAATCGGAGCATAACCAAACGGCTGTGGCCGGCGCAGCGAGCCGCCGCCGGCCGCTGTGGCGTCAAAATGTGACAACATAGCTGAATCGTGGGATGAGGTAGGTAGCTAGGGAAGAGTGTACTCTAGCTAACGGCAACTTGGCTGCTGACCTACTGCCTATACCTGCCGTCAGCCTCGACCTGGCCCCGGCAATTGTGTGTCAGCCGCGTGTATATGCGTGTACGCCAAGTATTTCCTTCTTTCTTTATTTCTTGTTGTTTTCGTCGATTCCTTGAATTGTCGGAATAGCTCGGCTTCTTTGGGATTGCGCTCGACTTATTACAGCTCTTTGGCATTGTCATGTCGTCGACTATTACGATAACAGTCCAGTAACTCCGTACAAGTAGCTCCGGCAATTGCTTTCCATAAATAAAACTTTATTCTTTTTTTTTTCATCCGTTTCGATAGACTGTTCGCCTTTTAGACTCCGCGATAAATGTGATATCTCAGCGATTTTACGTTCAATTAACTTTATGCTGCTGAGTAAATTGTCGACCAACTCTATTCGTATATAACATCACGGGATTCATATATTTGATATAGCTATTCAACGGTACATCGCAGTGAAATTTGCATAATGAACGTCGTTTGAGCAATCATACGTAATTTTAGCATTCCACTGAGTGGAGGTGAAGCTGAACTGCTGGTCAAACTGTTTGCCCGAAGAGCGACGGTATCGTCGGAAAGCAATTAGGAAGGGAAGGTGCAAGAAGAAAGTGCGACGAAAGGGCACGCAACGCGGTGTCTGCCGCGGGAATAACGCGCTCGAGCGGAGAAACCGATGGGACAGCGTGCGTGCGCGAAAGTCCGCGCAGGTTGAAGGAGATGGGTCGGCGGCGGCGACGGCGGTAGTCGGGCAGCGGGCGCGATCGGCCGCACAGTGAATCTGCGTCACGTACGCGCACCGCCGGAGCAGAGGAAGGAGGCTCGGTCTTTCTCCTTGTCCTTGGCCACCCGCGGTCACTAGCCCAAACTCTCTTTCAGTCGAGCGGCCACTTTCGTGACGCGCGCGCACCCATGCGATGGCCAAGCTCGCCGGACTAGCGACCCGCCTCTGCTCGGCACATCTTATCCTGCTGCTGGCCCGAGCCGAGCCGATCGATATCGCGAGCTCGATATCGAGAAACCTCAGCGGCTTCCTTCTCAGCAGAGATGGAAAGTTCTACGTGCAACCGGTTCTCGCCAATCGCAGGTATGCCGCGTTGTCTTTCATTCAATTCTGCTATTTTTCGTTGCTCGACGATATTCTCGAGCGATATTCGAACCTGCACACTTGATCGCGCCGAAATTCGCAACCAAATCCGGCTATCTGCTATTTAGAGTGCCATTCGAGAAATACTGAATAGAAAGGAAACAAGTCCGGTCGGTGAGCATTTCTTTTTTTTTCGACCATCTACTGGCAACTGTTGATTTAGTTCGCTCTACTTTTAAAAAGGCCGCGTCAGATAAGCAACCGAAGAATTTTTAAGAGCTTACTGTATTTCTTTTTTCCTTTTTATGAATTAACATACTGTTTCTGCTGAAATTCCGTTCCAAAATAACTTCGGAATAATGCAAAAACTCTTGCACAAACTATCACACTGACAGTGCGAGTTCTACTTTGGTACATAGGAGACTCAATATTCGCATGATAATCACTAGCGCTTAGATTGTTTTTTCTTTCGTATTCGTTCACAACACGACTTTGCCATCAATCAATTCTCTCAGCTTTCTTCCGTTCCACCTCGTGTAATTAGTTCAGTTCCTTTATAAATGTAGCTGGTCTGACAGTATTCTCCGTTTTTTATTTTTACTTAAAAAGATAATTACAAACAAAGATCAGGTCACGTGTGCAACCGTTAATCTACGAAATCAAAAATAGTCAATGAAAACTTTTTTACGAGTATTCAAATTTACTCGGAATTCTGAATAGACTCGTGTAAAAGTCCGTTCAAATGTTTCGAGAACTTGTTTAGATGTCTCCCGTTGCATAGACATTCCACTGGACAAAAGCGGTCGATGAATGTGACCCAGTATTCGTGGTGATTTACGGCTCAGCAAAATTAATTAAAAACTACGTCTTGTCCATCAATGAGTAACCCATTGCAAAGTAAAACTCCGATATGATTTCAAATCGTTCACTGACTTGTCAAAGACGTTTTTATTGTCCTTAAGCGAATAGTTTGAGCTTTCTCGAATAAATCATTCGTCAGTCGTCTGCGACGTTAAAAAAACAGTTTAGCAGAGCGTCCCGGTGAAATCCGTTAAAGTCACGTTGACAAACAAAGTCGGTCATAGCTCGAGAGAATTTTGCACAATAAGTCCAAAATGATTCTTTCCATGCACGTTCAGCCTGAGCACTGGGATACGCGATGAGCAGCACAAAGAATTTGAAACCAGATCAGCCGTCAGCGAGGGTGAAAGTTGGAGCAAGATCGACGAAGATGGAGCAGAGACTTCGACAACTGGCGTCGAGCTCAAAGTCACAAAAACCCAAGAGAATGAGAGTAGCGCCGAGGAAAATCACGAAGACGACGGCATTAGCTGGGAGCCAACGCCGAAGTCTTGGTGGCGGCGCATTGTAGGCGCGAGGTCCAGGACAAGAGCTTTTTCTTTCTATGGAATCGTCGAGTCTGCCTTTACTGGAATCACCAAGTTCATTGGATCGATTATTGGCGATGATGACAATGATGACGAGGCAGATTATCAATACAACGGTGTTAATTACCAAGGATACCAACTGCTAAGAATCATCCCGAAAAATCTAAAACAGGTTGAGCATCTAAAAAAGCTGAGGGATAGTGAACCAGACGATGTTAAGTTTTGGACTACCCCAGTGAAGAACAGGTACACATCTCGAGCAATATAAATATTATAAATACTAAACAGGCATCTTACAGAAAATATTTTTTCATTATAATATTTGTAGAGTTACAGATATAGTTATATCTCCAGCAATGCAGAATGATGTAAAAGTATTTTTAAGGCAGAAAAAAATCGATTTTATTCTACTGACGAATGATTTGCAGGTAATGCGAGACCCCATATCAAGCTAACTTATAAACTATAAGTTAAACTATACTTTAATCTATATAAACTGGGTGCTTGAAATCGAATTTTCTTTAGAAATTCATAAAATCTGAAAATCCAAGAATGCCAAAAGAGCGTCGTCAAGATTTGTTCTCTTTGCAAGGACATTCGATGACTTGGAAGCGGTACCACCGATATAAAGGTAGGCGAACATCTAACATTCAGATTGCTCTTTTCTTTGCTTTCGTCGAGAGTGTCGGAAGAATGTTCAATTGCTTTTAACGCGCTCATCAAATTGTAGATGTCATGGGATATCTGGACTATTTAGCTGAAAAGTACCCACAACTTGTCGAGGTGATGTCCATAGGAGAGAGTTTTGAAGGACGAGCTTTGAAAGTCGTCAAAGTTTCAACTGGCGCCGATAAAAATGGAGAATCGAAACCATCCATCTGGATCGATGCCGGTATGACGAATAATAATGTACAATTTTGAAAACCGGTCAAAATGACCACATATATGTAACAGTGCCAATATGTTCTCCAGCTATTGTGCTCGTTAGTCTAAAAACATAATGTATAGCGGAAACTCGTAGGGATTGCATGCGCCGTAATAAGGCACAATAGCATTGGCTTGAATATTTCAAAATAATTATGCGCTCACTGAGATTGTTGTCCGTTGCAGGTATGCACGCGCGCGAATGGATCAGTACGGCGGTAGCCACGTACATATTAAATCAATTAGTGGAGAAGAGCGACAACTACTCGCGGCTCCTCGATGTCACCGACTGGATCGTAATGCCAGTCGCTAATCCCGACGGCTACGAATTCACGCACACCAACGACCGACTTTGGCGCAAAACTCGAAGCATCCACGACACCGATGCCGACGACGACGAAGACGAAGCGAGGTAGTACATTCGTTTACGTAATTACTGTGCAAATAGTTAGATATATAATCGTGTTCGTCGCGCATGAATTATCAAATTAATATACTTTACAAATAACATCTTTAGCTCGTGGTTGCTATAATCCAATTGGAAAAATAAGGTTTTATCGATAAATTTAAGCTGCAAGTAGCTGTGAGATAAGATGAAATACAGTACTTATTAAATCTGTTTACATGTACTTGCAGACAAGGTCCCGGCATCTTACACATGCTGACGCACTACACCAAGTGGCTCTTTGGCAGTTGCGAAGGCGTAGATCCCAATCGAAATTTCAATATACACTGGGGCGAGGACAAAGTTGGTGGTGCGAGCACTGACCCGTGCCACGACACGTACGCTGGCCCAGAGCCGTTTTCCGAGCCCGAAACCAAAGCCATCTCTGACTATATAATGGAAAATCGACAAACGATCAGGTAGATATATCATTCGGTCTATAGCACTCTCTGCCAATGCTCGACAGACGAAAAAAATGCTCTGAGCGCACGGCCGATCCATATGCTACCAACAGCCTAATCTTTGCAAAGTCGGACAATGCCGTATGCCAGAAACGGGCAATTCTTTCGTGTGTACTACTTACAAGCTAACTGTACGCTTCCTCCCCTTCTGCTCGCAGAACCTATCTGACTCTCCACTCGTACTCGCAAATGCTGCTGGTGCCTTGGGGTTTTACGCGCAGCAAGCCGCCGGACTTCGATGACTTGATGAATATTGCCAACAAAGCCAAGAAAGCCATCGCCAAAGTCAGCGGCACCGAGTACAAAGTCGGCCCCGCCGCCGAGCTTCTCTATCCGACGACAGGTCAGCTAAGTTGAACGCGCAGATCGCCTCGGCGATAAGCCCCGCTATCTCGGTGTTTATAACAACACGCTTTATAACAACCGAATGAGATTGTAACGATACGCGGCGACGCGCCAGAACTAGAAAGCGTAGTCAAGATTACATTATCATTAATTACACTTGAACGATATACTAGTATCTCCGATAAACATAGTATTTTTAAAAGAATTGGGTACACTTCCGAGGCTAATTCCAGGACATAAGTATGTTGCGACTTTCGACGACCCTTACAGAAATAAAATTAATCATTCAAAATTAGTCGGAAAATTGAGCTGATATCGATAGAGCGCCTGTACTAACGATGACCCATTTGATCAACAGGCTCATCGGACGACTGGGCGAAGGCGATCGCCGGAGTAAAGAACGCATTCACGATGGAACTGCGGGACCGGGGGCGCTACGGGTTTCTGCTGCCGGCTGCGCAAATCATCCCCACAGCGAGAGAGACCTGGGCAGGAGTGCGCGTGATTGCACGCATGGCTGCGACCAGCAGCAAGACCTGAAGAATAGTGCGGCTCTTATCCTCCTATCCTCGCAGTTCTTCGTTCTCGTTTATGTGATTTGTCAACTTAGCAGTCATCTAACCTGACAATTCTTCTATTTATTTATTTATTTATTTATTTATACCTACTGTGCCTTCGAATCGCATTTTCATTGGTGGTTTTATCGAACTGACTTGCGTCTATAAAAATACATTGCTTTAGGATGAATTCGCATCAAAATTAATGTTAGTTGAGAAGATTGTAGAAAACCTACAGAAAATTCGTCGCTTTGTTGTCTAGACTGTATTAGTTTGTGCGAGCCAGTACGGAGATTGTCCAAAAAGCGATTGTTCAAATAGATTAAATACGCACAATTCGCGTTGCTGTGTATGTAATTAACTATGATAATGTACTACATTTATGCGTATGAGTGTATGAGTATGATTATCGTGTATAAAAGTAGATCGGTATGCCGATTAGCGACCTACTGCGCTGCTACCGGCGTAATTAAAATACTTGTAAATGATGATTGTTTTGTTATGACTCGTTGATACCTACTTTGTGTTTACTTATGCACCAATGTGTGTTCCCTCCGTTTAACGTTTATTAATTATTAAAATATTATTGTACAGATATAAGCTCGTCCAAGTTCATTTATACAAATAAACCAGATTGCGTTTACACTACTATCCCTGAATCAAATTGCCTTTTTAAAGTTTTAATCAATCAAATCAATAATTGTTACTACAACATTTAATGATCTCTCTCAGCCCTCCCCCCCCCCTCCTCTTCGTCTGTATCTCTCTCTCTATATACATTTTTTTTTTGCTTAAAAACCTTGATTTTGCACGATTTACTGAGCATTTAATTCTGTATTTACATATTCCACGCCATTTAATTCACGTAATTTTATTTAATTAATATTTATCTCTTATCAAGAGTTGCTTATAAAAAATTGCATAATAATGTTTTTGTACACAGCATTATTAATTTTTCTTTAATATTATCATCTCATTCGAATCTATGACATGCACGCGATTTAATTTAAACAGTTTATCTCAACCTCGTTGATTCTACGAAAATTAATTACAAACAGATGTTAATCCGCTTAATATATCGTTTAATTAATGTAAAGCTAGCTTCAATATTAGTATAAATGGACAAACGATTGGAATCGAGATCACTTCTCAAGATGCCATTTAAAGTTATTGTTCTCTGTTGCCTGTTGGCTATTGCCAATGCGGGTAAGTTTTTGGGCAATAAGTTGAAATAATAACATTATTAAATATATAAAATTTATGAACAGGTCCGAGAGTATCAAATTGGATGCCACCATTAATTTCTACCGTGGGTTTTCCAAATAAAGTAACCCGCGTTGTCGGCGGCAATAATGCAGAAGTAGGCGAATTTCCCCATCAAATTTCATTGCAATACATATTGTCCGGAGTTATGACGCACATTTGTGGCGGGAGCATAATTTCTGAAAAATGGATCTTGACTGCTGGACATTGTGTTTTCGGACTCGGAGAGGTTTCCTCTTTCTTTGTTAAAGCTGGTAAACATAATATCATGTTGGAAGAAGACAGTGAACAAAAAGCGTTAATAGAAGACATATTTATTCATGAAAATTACACTGGGTACGTATCATGTCGTAATGTATCAGATATACATTTTTCGAATACACTTTTCAGAAGTAAAACAGCAATTGTCTTTTATGCCTATGTCATTACCAGAAACGTGGCTCCATTCGACATTGCTCTCTTAAAGCTCAAAGTTCCCCTCAAATTTAATAAACGCATAGCACCAATCAGGTTGCCAGCGGAATCTGGTGTTGAACCTGTTGGTTATGCTACCGTATCTGGATGGGGATCTATTTCTTTGACGGTCAATTCTACCATGCCTGCAATTTTACAAAAAGTCAAAATCCTAATCATAGATTTTAAAACTTGCTATGCCGCTCTTCTACTTTCCGGCGAAGAATCAAAACTTCACAACACCAATTTTTGCACCGGACCACTTAATGGCGGATTAGGGGCTTGCCAAGTAAAAACAATTTAGTTATTTGTAATATATTTTATTTTTTATTTTATGATATAATGTTCTAGTGGTTATTAACCACCAGTCTAGAGACAAATAATTTCCTCTTGATTGTAGTAAAGTATATATATGTTGTAAAGTAGATAAATTTGAGAAACTACATTTCTTTCGTGAGATGTAAATTTTTTTCCATTCAGTATATGTATACCAATTTTAAGGGTGACTCTGGTGGTCCGTTGGTGGCGAAAAACAAGTTTGGAGCGAATGAGCTGATTGGTATAGTTTCTTGGGGATTCGTACCATGTGGCAGTGCAGGTTCTCCATCTGTGTTCGTTAAGGTATCTAACTTTCTGAATTGGATTAATCTTACTATAGCTAAAAACGCTTGAAGAAAATTATGGTTGATATTTTAAATTATTGACAATAAAATATGATTTTATGTAAATATTATTTACTTCTATAATAAAAGAAAATGAAAAATAAATTATCATTGGATTTTATATTTCCATTCATTGCAATAATTTTGAAAAAAATTTCTATAATTATTTATAGTATCATGTATTCTATATTTAATCATTACTTCTTTGTACTGTATATTTTTATTAGCTACATTATAACTTTTTAATATGTAACATATTTAATTAATCTCAATATGATTAATTCAATATGATTCCATTGAAATTAACATTTTTAAATAATTACACTTCATAATAATATGAAATCATTCATCAATATTGTTGATTTTAAATGCAAATATATTATTTCATATTTTAGAACAGTTGATATTAATTTTAATAAATGATAAAAGTTATCATAGAATTTTTACTTAATATTTTAAAATATGAGTAGCATATTGAGACATTATGCTTTTAATATCGTTAAAAGTCAGCTTTATCAATGAAGTTCACAGCATCGTCACTTTCAAGTACAATTTTTTATACTTTTATCCTATTAAATTTTGTATCTAATTACTGTTAAATATTTCTACAACTATAGATATGATATCACTTTTAAAAGAAGTTTGATTCATCAAGCTTAAAAAATGAAAATTGAAAAGAAATGTATCGTTTCTCGTGTATTGTATTATCAAAAACAAACGCACTCGAGACAGTGAAGCAATGCACACATTATCACAATCATTACAAACAAAAGTAAGCACGTAAGTAGCATACAAATTAATTTTACAGTCTCATGAATTTTCTCAATAAAATACAATGCTGCAATAAACTAAATTTCTAATCTCATTCCAGAATTTTGTAGTAAACAACAAAGTAATAATTTAAGTGAACCCTATAAAATTAACCGCGTAATTGGAGGTGCAAATGCTGTAAAAGGAGAATTTCCTTATCAAGTTAGTTTGCAATCGGGCAATTTGCCACATATTCCGTTGAAACATATATGCGGTGGAACTATAATTGATGAAGAATGGATTCTCACTGCGGCACATTGCGTTAATAAATTATCCCCATTTGTATATATGGTAGTTAAAGCTGGAAAACATTACATTAACATTCAAGAACCGCCTGAACAAGTTTCCTATGTAGGAAAAATCATCATTCACCATGAGTATCATGGGTAAGCCTATTATTAGATCAAATCATTTCTAATATCTAATACTCTATATCGTGTCTTACAACAGCAGAAATTGTTCAACTATATTACTAAATTGAATTTCCCATATAAAAATACAATTTTGAAGAGATAAAATCAATTTACCTAGCATTGGTTGTAACCCTTCTGTTTCCGACTCTTTCATTAAAAGCGTAAAATATGTTTTTTAGAGAAGTCTCGCCAAATGACATTGCATTGCTGAAACTCTTGACACCATTAACGCTCAATGATTTCGTAAGTCCAATAAATTTGCCCACTGCCAATGTTGTTCCAAAGGTTGCTCAGAAGCTCTACTCTCTGGCTGGGGATCAATTTCGAAAACTGCTTCTCCCATATTGCCACGAATATTGTAGAAAGTAACTTTACCGCTTATCGACAATAGCGTATGTAAGCGAGCATTGAGGATATTGGGAGAAAAAGATCGAGGAAATTCACCAACCTAATTTATGTACTGGCCCACTAACTGGCGGATTGCAGTGTGTGTTTACTATTCTCCGTTTGTGTTTTCGATTTCAAATGTTAATTACTTGATCATCTTATTTTTTAAATTTGTAGGGTGATTCTGGTGGGCCTTTGATGTCAATAAATGAAAAAGGTACAAGAGAAATCATCGGTATAGTATCGTGGGGTCGAATACCATGTGGCGGTTACGGAACGCCTACGATTTTCGCAAAAGTATCTGCTTTTATTGACTGGATCAATGATGTATTGAAGAATTATAATAACTGAATAAATTTATCCAATTTAATTTATAAATAAAATATATCTTTATTTTTCAATTAATAAGCAATGCCAATAAATAATAAACTTATTCGTTATAAAATCTAGCCATTTATTTATATATTTTGTTTATTACTATTTATGTATTAGTATGGGCATGAAATTTTAATAATATTATGATAACTAATTATTTATTTTTATTCATCTAAGTTTGCCTCTGTTTTATTAATAGCAAATTTGATATTAAAAATTATGCAAAGATAAAACATTCGTATTTTGATAACTCTGTAACAAAGCATATAATTTCGAACGTTAATTCAAGCATATATTAAACAATAACTCAAATGTCCTAAAATTATGCTGTATTTATCATATTTACCAATATTATACGTGAAAATATGTAACAAAAACTGTAATAATTAGAGTTAAAATTTGATTTTTCTGAAGTTACGAGCTATGATATTACGAGTTCTTCGAATGAATCGAAATATGTATTACTATTTTCTACTGAGAATGTCTTATAAACTAAACAGCGTATATCTATTTTATTTATTTCCTGCTTTGAAAGTTATACTTTTGGAGGCAATGATTTTTGATAGCAGCGAAATTACCCGGTACAAGTAGTGTCGTTACTAATTACGCATTGTAACTACACGAGTCGTTATTTATGTTGCAATGAATTTTTTTTCCTAAAGTTGCTTCGTTTCATCTAATTTTCTTTGGAATTGCATTAAGTTATAACGCTACCACCCGATTGCACAGCTAAATATGTATAGTGGTGGCACATATTCCAACTTACTCAATGTTGTGTACGTAGGTAAAAATGATTACATATTATTATTCTTAGTAAATTTAAATAGAACAACAGATATCACGTGAATGTCTTATAATAATTTTATCATCTCTGTAGATTACATCACTTTCTAAAGGAACCACATAATTCAAAGTTAAACATAATAATCTTTCTACCTTTCTATATTGTTATTAATTGGCTGTAGAACTAACGAGCTAAATCAAAATTCAGTAATAAAATACGTTTACTCTTTATTTGTAATAATACATTACGCCTGAAGGAATTTTACCTACAAAAATAGTGATAATTTAATTAAATAAAATCTTATAATTTGGGGTTTATCAAAAAAAAAGAATAATAAACGAGTAATGCTTGTATTATGGAATTGCGATATCATCTATGCACAAGAAAAAGTGAGAGCGTAATTCTTCAATTATCAAAAACGTGCCCATACGCTTTAATGAATGAAATTCAAAGCGAACGACATTGTCGATCCTCAAAATGATTTAAAAGCTTGTCATAACTAGTTCTTTCGTAGCCATCGTCTACTGCCGTGAGTATATTGAAAATTATATCTGTCAATATTATATATATAGAAATGTAATTAGATTTTCACTTCATTTACAGGGGATGATAATCTAAGCTTTGTAGCTTCTCTTGGTGATGTTTTAGTGATCAGTGGTGTAAACGCCGCAAAAGGAGAATTTCCACACCAAGTTTCCTTACAATGGGGAAATCCACCGCTTAATCCTTTCAACCATATGTGTGAAGGATCAATCGTAAATGAATATTAGATTTTAACAGCGGCTCATTGTGTATACAATTAACCAAAATATGGGCAACTTATAGTACGAGCTGGAAAAAATCACGTCAAAGTACACGAAACTACTGAACAAACTGCCTATACAACAACAGTTATTATAAATAACATATATCAAAGGTATGTAAATAATGCTCTGATTCTTCGGTAAATTTTAGTAAACAAGCAATGTTATTTTTACTTTTTTTCACAGCGGTGTTTTCCCATACGACATAGCCCTTATAAAACTGGCTACTCCTTTTAAAATCAATAACTTTGTCAAGTCGATTCAACTGCCAAAAGCTAACACGATTCCTCAAGGAGAGGCAATACTATCCGGCTGGGGCTCTATTTCTAAAACGAAGCAGGTCATTTTGCCAGACTATCTGCAAAAAGTCAGCTTACCCATTATCAATCTCGACATTTGTAGAAGAGTATTCAGAATAATTATGGAACCGTATCCAATTCACGACACTAATATTTGTACGGGACCTTTGAGTGGCGGATATTCGGCCTGCAATGTAAGCATTGCAAACTACAAAATTAAATTCTTTTCACAACTTTTTGTTTCGTCCTAATTTTGTAACTGCTATGAATTTTAACAGGGTGACTCTGGTGGCCCTCTCATAACGTACAATGAGAAAGGCATACCTGAAGTCATTCGAGTAGTTTCGTGGGGCCATGTACCATGTGGCGCAGTTGGAGCACCTGCTGTTTTCGTCAGAGTTTCCGCATTCATAAATTGGATTCATAATATTATTTACATACATGGCGCATAATTTAAGAAATTATTATATTTGTCGCCAAAATATATTCCGCGATTCTGCAATGAACTCAACAATCTCAATATTACAATTAAAAATGTAAATTTTGAAACAAATATCGAATGCATTTGTCGCTACAAAGTTAATACATTGTTTACCGAAACAATTTCGATAAAATAATTTTCTTATGATGAAAGCGACTCAGGTAAGTTATTGATCTGAACTAATGAGAGCGGCAAGATCGAAGTGGCGGGAATCATATGATGGGGTGCGTTTCTCTTGCAAGAACAACGACATATATCGTCTTACAATGGGTAGATCTTTGTACTTGATTATCCAAGATGGAGTAACGAAAAGTAAACTCGATGATAAATAGAGCAAATACAGTTGGCAACTCTAATGAGCTAAGTGAGTTTGATGAATAAGCTGAAAGCAAGGCAAATAATTAGAGCGATTAACCGATGTCAAGTCGAAAGGCCCGAAGGTAAATGAACGTAAGATCATTGCTAAGCGTGCGCGCGCGCGTGACAACAGGTGAATGTAGTGATTTGTACACGAGTTGGAGTGGCAATAAAAGAGGCAGAAAAAGGCGATTCTTTCAATAGCCTTTTACGTGAAATAACTTCCGCTGGCCAAGTCCGATGGATACGGCTGGTCTTGCTTAACGAATCAGACCTTATTTTTAGCGCGCGCGCGCTCACCTGCCGAGTGTAACTCAGTGTAACAACCGCTCGGAAACAGATCGGGAACCATTCGGAGATCCTAGCTTTTTCCGCATCCGCGTTACGCGCGAGCTTCATTCTCATGCGACAACTCGAAAAAGTACCTCATTTCTGCTCTTAGCCTCGGTTTGATCAAGTCGTACACTTCTGTTCACTCTCTCGCCTCTTCCATGTGCGGCTTTTTTCTTTTCAAATAACATGTTCAAACTACGTTTCCTGCTACTTGGTGCTTTTTTCATTGGAATACCAGAGAATAACGGTGAGTAAACCGACAAAAGGCCTTGGACGATCACTCGATGAAGGCGCAGTTGAATTTATTTCCGTTATTAAACCAAGTGCAATTTTTATGCAACATAACGGAAAAATCAAATTTTCAGCTCTGCGAGCAGCAGATGCTGAGCTGGCCTTGCTGGCAGAACGTCCGACGCGCATCGTAGGTGGTGAAAATGCCGAGCAGAACAATCACCCATGGCAAGTGTCGCTGCACTGGTTTAACAAGAAACGCGGAATAAAGCCTCGACACGTGTGCGGTGGCACCCTACTGACCGCTGGCTGGGTCCTCACCGCAGGTCACTGCAAAACCTTGTCGCCGAAGCGGCCCGGAGGCCAGTATTTGATTTTCGCGGGCAAACATATGCTCGGAACTCAGGAAGACACCGAACAGAGTCGGCTTGTTGTGGAAACTTTCGTTCATCCGGAATACAGAGGGTGGGTGCACTATTATTCACGCCGCTTGAAATACAAGTCAAATTATTAGACAAGTGAAAATAGAGCGAGAGTAGATGTGGTCAAATAATGAACTTGCGCACTTTGCGGTCAACCAACGTTACGCTTAATAAACTACTCAGATTGTGACATGATGACATAAAAGCAGACGGTTGCGCCAATACGTTTCACCATTGTTGTCGATTTCCAACGGTAGTTTATCTCGCCTGAATGTAACGTTTTTGCGTTGCAGATCTGTTGGTCCATACGACATTGCATTGATGAAATTAGAGGAACCTTTCGAACTGAACGAATACGTATCGACCGCGTCTCTGCCCTACCCTGACGAGGATCACCACGGCGAGGCGATACTGACCGGTTGGGGCAGCATCAGCAGAACGCGTAAACCTGAGGCACCAGAAGTCTTGCAAGCAGCGACGCTGCCGATTCTTCACTACGAAGAGTGCAGGGAGGCGCTCAATCGTCGTCTCAAAAAAGAAGGAAGAAACCCACTGCACTCGACCAACGTTTGCACTGGCCCGCTCGATGGATCAGCTTCCGCCTGCAAGGTATCACTCTTGTTTTGCCCACTTTTCTTTTTATTAATTCCACTGTCAACGCGTAAATGTTCTGGATTTTTAGGGCGATTCTGGAGGTCCTCTAGTAGCGAAAAATGCGTTTGACATGGTGGAAGTCATCGGGGTAGTTTCGTGGGGACTGTTTCCTTGCGGTGGAAGAAACGCGCCGTCTGTTTATACAAAAGTCTCGGCTTTTGTTCCATGGATTCAGAGCGTCATGTTGAACAATTAATCGAGCGAATGGATCATCGTTGATTAAATGGAGTGTTGTTTCCTGTACAATTTATGTGATAAATAACGAAGAAAGTGTAAATAGCAAATAAAATACTGAATTTCAATGACGTCTGAATTGCTACCAATCAAAATTATAAACATGATATTAAAGTGTAAGCGGTAAAGTGAATGGTTGGAAAGGTTGGTATACATTTAGAGTGAATCGGTAAGAAGTAACGGATGGGTAATTGACCTCGCGGGAAAAACCGTTCCCCAATGAAATTCGTATGATCCTTCCTTCCTGACGCTCACTCTCTTTCTCTCTCTCCATCGACTATTGCTACCTGCCGATAGCGGGATTGTGAACTAAACCAGTTTCCAGTCTGCGGTTCGATGTACTGCGACAAGCAGAAACACCTCGCATTTCGAGTAATTCGATTATGGAACATGCTTATCATGGAACTTTTTTCTCACGACGATCAACTATTGCACAATCAAATTAGGTTTTATTTTGTTCGATAGCAAGAATAAATAATTTAACAAGAAATTAAAATCGTTTAAATAACGATGAGATATTTATTAATAAATATATAACTTATGGCGTAGAGTAAAAATTACATCACAATAGCTTCAGCAGCGCGCAAGCTGCAAGTGTAAGTACAGTAGGCGGTAGAGCTCAGAGCTGTAGTACTGCCTTGGCGACGACCTTGACGGCAGCAAGAGCTTCTTCAGCGGTGGGTTTGATGTAGTAAGCCGGCAATATAAAGCCATTTTGACCCTTGTCCCTTAGCTCGACTGTGTAGGCGTACTTGACTTTGATGTAAGCCTTGGCCCAGTCGTCGGCGCCACCCGCGGCCGCGTACAGGGTGCTCGCGCTGTTGCCCACCGTATACACACTGTTGGCCCCCCCGGCGCTCTTCATCGCCGCGGCCATGCTCCTGCCCACGCTGTCGAGGTCCTTGTAGTCCGGGGGCACGCGGCGATCATAGCCCCATGGGTACAGAATGTATTGGCCATAGCTGTGGAACGTCAGGTAGGCCTGCATGCAAAACGAAACCCATTCTTTCGGTGCAACAGCATTTTCACATTTTCGTTCGAATTCACTTGGCTTTCACCCACGACTTACTTTGAAATTGGCAGCGCTTGCCTCGAAAAAGTTCTTGATGGCACGCGTCTCGGGCTCGGAGAAGGGCCCGGTACCGGCGTACGTTTCGCGACAAGGCGATTTGCTGGTACCCATACCCCCCCACCTGTAGCCAAAGTTACGGTTGAGATCGACGCCTACGCAATTACCACCCCTCTCGGGGTGTCCGCGATTTTTGCGCCACAGTCTGTTCCCTCGGAACGTGTACTCGTATCTGTAAACAGAGCGATTTCGATTCCGTCGAGCCCTCTGCATGGCCTTGCTGTTCAATCTGAAAAGCTTTGATTACCCATCGGGATTGACGACAGGCAAAATGTAGTAATCCGTCTCAAGCTGGTCGATGTGCTCAACCAGATAATCTATGACGTAAGTGACGACCGCAGGTGAAATCCATTCGCGCGCGTGAATGCCTCCATCGATCCACAGCGCTGGAGCGTTTGGCTGCCCTTTGCTTATACGGAGTACCTGTGTGCGGATTGAACCATCGCAATAATGAGATTATTTGAAAAATTGCGATCTATTTACGTGCAGACTGGCAGTTTCGCTTACTTTGAGTTCGCGTCCTTGGACAGATTTGCCAATAGACATAACCGAGCAGAATTCCGGAAAGGTATTAGCCAAGTAGTCGAGATAACCATTGATATCGTCGACTCGATGATAGCTCGTCCATTCCATTCTGTGTCCTAAAATTACGTTCTTTCCGCTTGACCGAGAAATTTATTTTGCTCCGTTGTTAATCGACTACACTGATACACGCTTCGCACATTCAGATATTCTGCTTAAAATATTCGCGGCCACTATATTGTTAATTGCAATTACAAGCCATTCAAGTGCTGTGGAAAAAGCAAGCTTGGATATCTAAAGTGAGGTATACAATTTGCCAGGTAAGAAGCTGAACTAACGAAGCGTCAAGCAGAAAATCAAAAGCTCACCCTTCCAAGGCCAGCGATGATCACCGACACCCTCTAGCGAATTATGCATAGGATAGCGAGAATAATATCGCGAGGAGAAACTTTTTCGCATCACAGAAGTTTTCCACCAAGCGTAGCGAGCTAAAACACCACTCCATCTGTCAATTTGTCATTCATTTCATGCGCACCACTCAATGACAAATCAAAGCTCACCACATTTTGTCAATGAATTTCTCAACAAATAAAATCAATAAAATTAAAGAAAAAAACAAGATAAAGCATTACAGCCGTTCTTATATAAGAGTACATTGGATTATTTGAACAGTCTACGATGAATGCTATGTAGGTTATTAGTTCAACGACCGTGTAAAAAACCTGAAATGTGCGAGTAGAGAGAGTCTTTTTTTGATTCCGTTCGATTATCTATAGCACAAAAGCTTTCACTTTGGATTATCGGTCACCTGCGCGCTGTTTAATGTTACTGTTGGATACTCCAATGGAATAGCAATTGCAGAGGCGAAAGTGTCATTGTAATTTTCATTTGGGTTAATTCGATCGGGCTGTCGAATACAATATTCGAGAAGAGTTGTATATGAAAACAGACTTGATGATTTCACTAAGTGACCTACCGTTGCGACCCTCCAGCTCTTCGATTTCCGTTTGAGTTTTAACTGGATTCTCATGATTAATCATTTGTTGGAGATCAGTTATGAGAATGTCGTATTCGATGTTCCGCCTATGCAAAAAACGAGAAACATGATGGATATTGTCGGGAAGTACCAGCACATCCATGGTCGTGTCATTGCCATTCCACAGAGTTAAATCTGCCAATGAATAATTGCTGTAGATTCGCGACAAAATTAACGAGTTGGTAATAAGTAGAAGCGTGTACAAACCCTCCTTTTCCTGCAGATAACTAAGATATTCGGATTTGTCAGCGACGTCGACGATTCTCCAAACTTGGGCGCCCTCGTAGGTGACCACATCTTCTTCGGGAATATCGAATTTCTTTGACGAGGCATCTTCGCTCCTAAGAAACTTGGGCTCTGACAAGACCAACGCGCTAGCAGTAACCAGCAAAAGTGGCAGCAGCCAGAAGGATCCGCGAGATGTCATGCTCGCGGAGGCAAAAGACTGACCTCGCGATCGGGAAGTCGCTTAGCTTTTATAATATTGGAGAGCCGGCACCGACGAGCTAACGGTACTCCCTGCGCGGGTGCGCTTGGGTATACGCGCGCACGTGACACCAGCAGCGGAGAAAGAGAAGAGGAGGATCTCGCTTTGACCGATTCCTCCGCGTTGTCGGCGATTTTCTCGCTCGCATTTGTTCCCCGGAATGGAACAGCGTCGTTCATTTGAAAATGTGAATATCGGTAGAAAATGTTGCAGTCCACCGGCGCGCGCAAATTGGCGATAGTTCAATGAAATGCCCGGCAAAGACAAAAGCAACCATCGAACGACGACCTTGTTTTCAAATAACATCAAGGATTATCGAGTGCGTTTGCAATTTTTTTCCCAATAAATTTCGTTTGAAAGGAAATCTCAGTGCGCAGCAATCGTTCAAACACTTGCTCAACTCACTTGAGCCGCGCAGAATGAAACAGTTGAAAGTGAAAAGTAGGTTATCAGAAATAAGATTGAACGAATTCTTGGAGGGACAGAGGCTCTGTGACCCGAATCCGCCGGTCGTGAACGATGAGAGAGTGAGAGAGAGAGAGAGAGAGAGAATTTGCGCACATGCCAGCGCGCGGGGCGTTGGTGTGTTCAGGCCGTGTTCCACGGCAGCCATCAATTTACGCAGCGCGCTGAGGTAATAAAAAAGGGGGTGACAAGTATCGGCGTGTAGGCTTGTTCACGGCGCAGGCCAGCTGCGCATCGTGCGCCTCAACTGCCGAGCGGAGTGAGAGGTCGTCCCGCGTTGTACTCGTCGCTCGCTACCTCGTTTAGTATTCCGACTTGTTTATCGCACCTGAAGAATTTCCGCCACATAGCCAGCTGATTTCTTTTTTTTCATCCATCCCACCGAAGCCGCGAAGCAGCCGCGTCGCTGAATCATGAGTTGTTTGCTGACTCTCGTGCCACTGATTATAGCTGCAACTGTTAACGCTCAGGTACATACGGAGAACTGTTTTGTTTCGCTTCCAATCTTTTGTGATGCCGTTCCGCACGTGCCAATTCGTCAGTCAATAACGTCTGACAAGCTTGAGAAGAAATTACTTTAACTAATGTTTCCAATAATAATGCATCTCTACGCTTAATTCAGTGTTATTATTCCACTTGCCGCACTCTCACTCTCTTTATTTAACATTAAATATCCAAACATATTTTTTTAAAAATCATTTACACTTTTTTAACGTTTCATCATCTGGACAGTGTTTACATAACTGCGTAGCTGTCGTTGAATCGTATTCACTTATTTACTTCAATCATTAACGATGATCTAATGTGATAAATCCCTAAGCACAATGAATTAGCAAATATAACGAAGCTGAAAGCAGTACTGTTGAAAATTAAACAAATGTACCGGTGAAAGTAGATAGTTGAACTTTAGTATAATAAGACAGAGCTGCATGCACGTAGTCTGCTATAGGGCTTCTGCTCGGAGTTTGTGTTGGTGAACGTAACACGCTAAATCTAAACGTGCGTACAAAGTTTCACTCGAATAGAACTAACTCTACAATGCTGTTTGTGGCGACTCCATTAATTAAAATCCACGTCTTTCGATCACTTTGTTTCAGAGCGATGGCAGGTATACTGTTACTGACCAAGTATATTTCGATATCATGATCGACGACAAACCAGCAGGAAGGATAGTTATTGGACTTTTCGGACAAGACGCTCCGAAAACCGTGAAAAATTTCATAGTGTTAGCCACTGATGGCGTCGATGGCAAAACATACGCGGGAACTAAATTTCATCGCGTCATCAAAAAGTTCATGATACAGGGTACGGGCCAGCATTCTCTCGACAAAGCCGATGTTGACTTTGAGCACATGTTTATTTTAGGTGGTGACGTGGAAACCGGAGATGGAGCGGGCTCTATCAGCATCTACGGCAAAACCTTCGATGATGAAAATTTCGCTCTCAATCATAACGGGCCCGGCTTTCTTAGCATGGCTAATGCTGGCAAAAACACCAATGGTTGTCAGTTTTTCATCACCACTATTGCCTGTCCGTGGTTAGATGGATTGCACACAGTATTCGGAAAAGTAATTGCTTCGCACGAAAAGTACATTCATTGTCATTCAATTTTACCGATTTTTCGTTAAAAATATTTCTCTAGGTTGTTGACGGATTGGATGTGGTTTTCAAAATTGAGCAAACAAAAACGGACGTCAACGACAAACCCGTGGTACCCATCTACATTCACGAAAGTGGACTGATTCCAACACCCTCACCGTTCACCATCTCCGATAACCCTTACGAGTAAACCACTTACTCCTTAATCAATTTCTACGTACCGCTTTTTTTACAGATTGCATCAAATACCTTCGCTTCATGTAGAGTAGAAAATTTCACTCCATCTCTGTTGTGTTTTCGTTTGTTGAATAAATCATTCGTTACGTGCTTTTCATTGAGCGTACATTTTCAAATAAGCCGCTATATAAAACGATGATGAGATAATAGCTACCATCACGAACAATAATACATACATTACGATAATCTAAGTGTATATAAATAAAAGTATTATTAGTCTAAGTAACTTATCTCGTAAGCTGAGCTACACGCTGCATATTAGTTTATTTATTTGTCTTTGTAACAAGTCGGTACGTAAGTAAAGCATTTTTCTACCGTATATTTCAATTTTGTATTTTTTTACGACGCTAAGATACGGCAGCTCAAAAAAAAAATCTTGTTCAATTTCCATTCACAGTTTATGGTCATGGGCAAAAGCAACTGCGATTCCTTTGAGTTTTAGCTTCTCAGTTCTTGGATTTTTCCACTGGATGATGAGGCAGCTTGATGTTTGACTAATAATCAAAATTTCAACTATTTTTAAAAGCTGTAAGAATAAGGTCAGCTCCTTTTGCAAAATTATAAAATGCACACGAATGGTGTACAAATTTATCACATATTCATGACGCTTAATTAAAAATAAATTTCTTATTAAAATAAAGTGTTAATTTTCCTAACAATCATAAGCTTACGTATTGATTATGACCTGCAATCATTAGTATGATAAAATGTCACCGAAATCGTTTTCATAAGTAAATAATCAAAAACAATGAGATTTTAATCTACAGATAAAATTTACGGCAAGAGTTGTTGAAAAAAAAATGTTTACACGCATGCGCTCGATCCTCTAAGAACAAAGCATGTAAAATTTGGCGAATACTTTTAGATGTTTTGAGCAATGCAAACTATTCCAACATTTTCTGTTTTTAAATTTTAGATTGTTTGTTGATTCACGCCACCTAGCTCAACTCGTCCGAGACACCGCGATTATATATACACATTTACCATATGTTGGTAAAATTATCTACATTGAGTAAATCTATATACCAACACACGGGCATCAATACATTTAATTCAAACTATGCCACATTTTATAAATAACTATTAGTATAATTATTCTACTCTAAAGAGAGTAATGCTATCTTAGTTGCATATTTCAGCATTGCCATATTTTCCGCTGCAATTTTTGATTCGTAAACAACTTCATAAAAATTTAACGCGCACTTGAAATAGAAATAAAAATAGAGCAGTCTTTTCTCCCAGATACTCTTTCCGATCAATGTTGTGCTGTTATCTCGCTCATTGGGAATGCGCCAAAAAATGATATTGAAATGGCGTTTTTAAGAAAATATCATGAATATTTTCAATACTTAAAAAACTACGTATATATATATATATATATATATATATATATATATATATATATATATATATATGACAACGTTATAAGGAACCGGTTCTTCCGCAGTAAATACGGCAGCTCTGGACAAATACGCCAGACGATTCCTTTCATAACTATACCGGTCTACATATTCTATTTCTTTCTTCTATTCTTCTTCTTCTTCGCTCCTTTAAAAATACCTTTGCTAAGAAAGTGCATAAGCAAATTTTCCAAAAAGTCCTAACTGGTATATGGTATTACGTATGCATTTTCAGAAACCCTTTCCATTAAATTATTTGAACTAACGAAGAAAAGTAAATCCGTAGAATTACCCGTCAGCTATTATTTAAGATGGTTTATTTACATTGAGCAGCAAAAAAAAATGGTATTCGTTAGTAATTGTTTTCATATACAAAGGTCAGCGGAGATCACTTAGCGTAACAACAATCTCGCTATAGCTGACATCATACATCACACAACCGCACGCAAAAAGGGAAGAGCGGCGAAGAGAAAAGTAAGGCGGCGATGAAGCGTTCTCGGCGTCGGCGCAGCTGAGCCGGCTTTTCGCGTGTGCGGGCAACGGCATTACGGCACACGACGGGCCTGTCCACACGGCTGGCATGCTCGCACTGGTAGTCGTCTCCCACTGATCACAGTCGACCAGCTGACCGCGTCGTAGTCGCACTCGCGCCTCGATTGTGCTCGCTAAACGTCGCGACGACGAGTCAATTTTACTGCGCGCGAGATAAGTGAACGTTGAACATGGCCGGTGAGGTTATGCCAACGCTGACTCGTACAAGTGAATGATATTGTTAATAAGCAGTGAAGTGCCCGATAACGGTGCATCAGCACCTAGATAATACAGTCGCAGGGATGCGCTGAAGACATTCGTAGATAGTACCAGTGAGTATAGGCGTAGTTGAGCTTATGCTATTTGCTGTCCGTCCTAGCCCTGTACTCAGTTTGGAGCCGGTCTTGTTTTCTTCAACACCATTGCCCAGTCGCGTGGCAGTGCGTACCTTTTACGCTCGTTCCAGCGCTGACAGTCGGTGCCCGTACTTTAATTCATATCGAGTCTTAGCAATCAGCTGTTGGCCTCGCTCTTGGTTTATCCGCGTGTACACACACTGTTTCCGCGTGTTTCCCATTTCGTTTTCACTCTACAATGTTACTTTTGCTCGCGCTAGATAACTTCAAGCTGTGTACAATCGTAGAGCGTGCTGCTATTACTGCATGAGTCGTGCTTGCCAAGAACTCAGCTTTCTAGAAAACAAGCAAAGTGCAGCACTTTGGAAAGCGAGATTTGATATTTCTGGCTCTGCAACAGTTGATTATCCAACAACAATATTCGCACTCTTTTGATCTTCAAAGCATATGTAAAGTGTGCATTGTAAAATGAGCAAGGATTCGGCAATATAATATGCGTTTGGATCACTACAGTCTTAATGTCAAACAATCGCAGCTATATCGCGTTAGTTTTGCCTCGAGTCTATTTTCGTATATAATTGATCGGATGCAATCTATGCTGCGAGTTTACAATCGGAAACGGACAATCTCTAATAGTTATGGCTTTTCTGATTTCAAATTTGGATGTGAATCTGAGTAATGGATCGTAGCATTAGACAAAATCTCTCGTTCAGGAAAGTAGTTTAGCTTCGTGATTCGACGCCATCGTGCATAATATCATTTTTATTTATCAATTTTTTTAGAATTTCGTACTAACTTGATGACCAAACCAATCGAACTGGTTTGGTCGATTTTGGATAGTCAACCACGTTCTTGCCTTTATTATGCTAACGACGTGAATAATTATGTGAGAAGATGCAAAGGACACGTGAAATCTAGTCTCGTCGAGATGGTCTACGCAAATCGAAATAAATCTCTGGCGATTCAAAATCGACCATTAAAAAAAGAAATGAAGGAATGGAATTCCCATCGCAAACGCGTGGATTTATATAAATGTCTGACGATATATCAGAACGAGCACTTAGCACCTAGCTTCGCGTCACAACGTCGGCGCAGTTGACGTGTCCGCGCACATATATACGTATACATATTCATTCGTTTATGAGGCAGTGTCCGTATCAGCGTGCGATATTTTTCTTTGCACGCTCAAATAGGCGAAACCTGCCTGCGCGTAATGTAACCTTCGACACGCGATAAAGTATACACGAGTGCAGCGCTTTGTGTTGAAAATTCGCACGTACGACAGACCACGGTGATGATGTCACTGTAAGCTAGTGAAAACTCACTTATTTCCGTAGAATTCTCATTGAACATGCACCCAGACTACTGCCATATAATCATTATTCGTTATTAAAATTCTATAGTTTAGCTTCGTCGCTCATTGGCGCATTGGCATTGGCTCAACGCGACTTATAGGAGTGAGTAAGACCGCGACTGTTTCTATTGAGACATTTTTTTACAAAATCCATTTGAGAGATATCGATAGACGTAGTTGATGCAACATCGTTTATTTAGGCTTACAAAGGTAAGTGTAATGTTTACCTGATAACGGAGATAAGGCTGTGCGCATCAAAGCTTTTATTTGCGCACGTGAAAGAGGTGTTTGACGCTGAAACGTCGTCATAGAAATAGAAATTATCTCGATGACATTATTTTCATCAGGAAAAACAAAACAGGAGTAAGTGGCTAATGGCTGGTTCGTTGGCATTTTTCGTTGGCATTTACTTCTTCGGAAAATAAATGGGATATCCACTAGGGAAAAAATGGCTCCTCGAAAGAAGAGAAAGAAACGCGAGGTTTTGAAGACACATTGACGCGACCGTACACCCGCTAACAAATCGACTTGCAAAGGCAGACATTGGCGAGTCACAACAAAAAGGCAATAATCAGAGGACGCAGCACGCTCTAATTAGTCTTTGTCAGTCTGTCCTTTTGTGGTGCACGCGCACGCAAAAAAAGTCGGACGCGTATCTGGCATTATATGGGCCGACGATAATGAATTCCACGGCGAAAGGGCGTGACAGCGAGGGAGCTGGCGCGCGCGCGGGCTGCTCGGACGTGGACATCGCACGCAGGCAGGCGGCAGAGCTGAAAAGTCGGGGCAACGCTGTGCGATTAGAGGGGCCGTATCGTTATGCCGTCGATAGAGTGCGCGATACTGATTGACGACGGGTGGACGCGGGCAGTGACATGATTGACGCTTTTATGGGGGTTGTTTGTCTTTCGTCCGCGCTGGTTTACCTTGCGGGCCAGTTTGATGGCGAGCGGCGATTGATTGCTCGGAGCCATGCCGCTTTGTATACGCGTGCCGGAGAATGGCTCGGTGCGTACACAATAAATTGGACGACGCAACTGCCGGGCACAATCAGCCGGTCAAATCTTGGCTACGACGATCGGCATCGCATGCGAGATCGGGCAGCTCGCTCGGTGTTTTTTATTGTACGTAGCCTGCGTCTCGGCCGAGGACAGTCGTGGGCCAGGCACCTTGACGCTCATTTGTCAAATGGAAGCGTGCGCGCTCGGTTAATATGCCATGCACCACGCGCATGCTAATACTCTACTCGGCGCATGAGTTATCGCAGGCTAATCGGCTTTTTGATGATTACGTGACGTTTAATTAATACGGCCGTGTAGCTCGCAGCAAGAGGCTCTTTAGCTCGCGACGCCACCACGCGATTCATCGAAAAAGTGCAATTGACGGAAGTAGCGAGGCGATATTGATGTGACGTCTAGACAAACGCGACGTAGGCACGACGACGAGAATAGAGCACGAGAAACTGATACGGAACTTTTACGCACTGCCTACTTCCAGCCCAAACCAAGCGCGATATCGTATAATACTTTTTTCGATCGTCAAAAAAGTGCCATTAACTTCGACGGTGATATCTTTCTATTTGCTGGAACCTACTTTTCGTTTATACGCGTCGCACTGTCGTCGTCTGGCTTTTGTTCGAATCGAATAATTTATTACGATTTTTGTGGTAACTTTCATTTTGCTCTATATCGCGTGTTTCTAACTTGTATCATAGCGAATCGTACTTTTCGCATATAATATCATAAATAAATTTATTAGTTTATACACGCAATATAAAGACCACAATTCTCAGGCCTCGGATGATAGACGGCGAAAAAAGCTACACCCGACTATTGATGACGATTAACATGCTCTACGATATGAATTCCGATTAAGCAAGTTTGCTAAACAGTATCTTTTAATTTTTACTAGTTTATCAGCACTTATGATATTATTCGCCAGTATCACATGCTGACTTAGTCTCGCATATAATTAAAAATGAGCTCATCTCTTATAAATAATGTCATCGAGTGAAACAACTAAAGTTTCATAACTCGCGCGTAATTTAGTGGGGTCGCAGTGGTTAAATAGTAGCTAAACGTTTCCAATCAGATAGCGCAGCTGATAAGGTGTAGCTATTACCGAGCGTTCACGTCAAAAGAAATAGATTTTGTTGTTGTATATTCTACGCGGCGAATCGGATGGGATCGGTCGCATCATTGTCAGTTAGTAGAAACTAGGCCACAGGTCGATTATCCGAAATTCCCCATACAAGTCGTACGTCGCTTCGTCGAAAAATGGAGAAAAAGTTTTATGGGCTGACGATGTAGGTCACGCTTCGTAGTCCCTTATATGGGCTCGCCCTTTTCCACGCTAATAAAATTTAATGACGTGACAATTTTTCATTAGACAAACTCCACCGCTCGCGCGCTTCTCTCCGACCATCATTCAAATATTTTATTATCAATTTATTTTATAATTGTGTTGCAGGTTATAGCGAAAGTACAGCCAAAATATGACCAAGTATTGGCTAAATACGGCCTTGATGAGGATAGTCTATCCTTCGCTACTTATTGCATGTAAGTAAGATTTTTCGCTTTCCTGAATCTGTTCATACCCACGTAAACATGATTGGTCTTACGATGGATGCGTTTAGTCCGTTTTCACCGAAAAGTAAAAGTATACAGGAATCCACTTTGGCAATGCTTCAACTGTATTTTGTAAAACGAAAGACAGGAGAAACACACTTTTTCTAATATTAGATCAGCACCGCGCTAAATGCAGACGCAAAGCCGTGCCGCTTTCCCGTATTATGATTCTCGATGCCACACTCGAACGCTCCACTTTTATTTTAAAATTTTAAAAATGGTTGAGTCTTCGGTTTCACGGTTCGGTAAAAAGTGCCTGTCGTCATTTCGATGTCGTTACTTCATTGCCGCACAAGAACAAAACGAATCTAGCGAAAGACGTGGACCAACGTTAAAAGCTCCAAGTAAGATCGCCGGAGAAATGATACATCGCAAGATTATTAAATATGTCGCTGCGTGAGGAGCTACGAGCAGGTATCGGTTTGCAAGTGGAAGGGGGGTTAGCAAGTTGCTTTTGTGCAGCTGAGGAGTAGTATAGCTATGCGTGCAACTCCACCATTCGTGCCTTCTTCATTTCACGCCCTAAAAGCGTCGTGTCCGTCGCACGGCGCACACTAGGGGCTGTCTTGTCTCGGCTAACTTTTCTTTTTTTCAGCCTGATTCTAAAACTAGGTTACAACCATTTACCCCGGTCAGAATTTATGACACCTTGCGCATCGACGTCCTTTTTTACCCCACTTCCGTTAATATTAGTTTTACGAGCTAGGCCTTTCTTCCAAGTTTCCCGTTGAGCTACAATTTCACAAAAAAAAATTTCTTTATTCTTTATTATCGCGTCTTCGTTTCGCAGTCGTTAAAGGATACTATAATATTATCAACTACACGTGTTCCTTCATTTACAGTCCGGTTATAAGAATGAACAGTATTGGTTATAATTTCTAGCCATTTGTAAATTTCATCTTTCTTACTTTGGAATTTTATTTCAAGCTCATACGTGGCCCTCGATTCTTCAAGTAAATGTCTACAATATATTTTTACGTGACAGATTTATATTTTAAAAATGAAGTTTATCTGTAACCAACCCCATTTACTAAAATAGTACCGACATTAGTGCAAGAAAGTGATTTGAGCCTCGCGTGAACGTTCGTGCCCGAGTGAAGCAAGGGTGAAGAGGCCTCGCGAGGCTCAAATCACTTTCTCGCACTAATATCGAAATGTACTCTATACACATATCTTATTTGAAAAAGTTATGTTTCGATAAAAAAAAAATTTTTTATGTAGTGACTTCAGAAACACTTTGAACATATTTATATTTATGAAGGGTTCATTTTGTTTCAAGTTTATTTAATTTGTATAATAAAATGTTTAAATAACATCAGAAATATATGTTTTTAGTATTTGAAAACTTTCGTCTATATAATGTATAGAAATTAAAAACAAACACGTTTTCAATAGTTTAAAACCAATTTTATTCAAATATATAAATAAGCTGAGTTGGTGCTGACAAAATTGGTTAATAAGAATATTGTATGATTTCTATAATATTTTCGGAGAAGTACAGAAAGCTGATAGATCTAGATACAGATTAATAAAAATATGAAGATTAATTGCTAAAAATGTGAAAAGATGAATGATATTTGCTAATAACATTTCATATGAGGCAATAATGAAAAATTACAATATTATGGAGCTAATAGTATTATATTAACAAGGTTTTTTTTCTTACAACAGAAGACTTTCGTTAGACCAAAAATGTTGGTGTATCAGCAACTACAGTTCTTGTTTAAAATTCTACAGTCATTGTTAAGCTGAAAGTTCGAAAGTGAAAAACGTGAAATTCACGTTAAAATTATGACCAGAACTGTATTATAATTATTATATAAATAGAATTACGTTTGAACAATAGCATTAAATAGGTCTGATATCGCGTGAGTAATGCGGTTAAATTACTTTTCGCCGGATGGAGTTGTGTATGATAAATGTCGAGCGAAAAGAATTATTCATAAAAAAATGCGTAGATAATCAGTGGAATTTAATTAAAAAACAAGGACATTGAATCGGTAAAAGAAAAACTGGTGATATCTTACAGGTACAATATGGAGGCCAGTAGGTTTGTCGCTAGTGTACCTGACTTTGGCATTACTATCGCCGATGATCCCAGTGCCGACGACCACTTCCATGAAAAGTCACACTGGTCGATTTCTCAAGACCTGCGTAGCTCTCAGTTTAATCGTCGCTGTTGCTCAGATAGCATTCCACGTTGTCCTCTTGGCTCTGTCTCCTTCTGGGGAAATTTTAGAATACTGTAAGTATGGGCGACGTACGACTTTGCGACTACCACCGTCTTTCTCGAAGTTGAGTTGGACAGGCAAATAGCTGACTTGAGTTTCACTATCCATAGGCAAATTTCCAGAGACACTACTCAGGCATATAGGGTTCGTCAGGTTAGATGGGGCCTCGGTGTGGGAGGTGTTTTTCTGGCTGACCCCGGAAATCCTCGTATTTCCCTCGAGCGTTGCCGTCTACGTATTGTGTCGTAAGCTAGTGAGCCCTCAGCCCAGAGAAGACGAGGACAACGCTTCGCTACAGCGCCAACAGAAGAGTTCAAAAGAGCGATCGTCTAAGGTACAATGACTTTCGGCTAAGCTACAGTCGTGGCCGCCTAACGGTTCGATCAAATAACTCATTCTTTTCACTTGCAGATAATCAACTTTCTCGGCGGTATTGGCACGTATGCGGTGTTAGCTGCACTATGCTGCGCCGCGTCGTTGAAACCCTCAGTCGAGGGCGCATTTTACTTTCTTGTGTTCATTGGCTCGGCGACCTGGTGGGCCTGCCATCGAGAACTGGGCCGAGGGTTTGCCTTTCTCTGTCGGATGGTGATGGCTGTGGTCGCGCTGCACATTACGCTACTTCTCTTCTATCAAAACCAGTGGCCTCAGGACAAGCTTCCAGCCAACGAGACGTGGGCGAGGTACTTCGGTTTCGTGGCAGTTTATCAGACCCACTGCGACGACAGTGGCACCGTTGATCCGAGGGACGTTCACTACGTTAATACTGCCGACTGGTCCACTTACGCCTACTCGTTGCGCCTATTTCTGCTGTACTTTTTACTGGCTTTGCAGTCCAAGTTTTTGTTTAAGAAGCCGGTGAGTAACAACTACACCATACGTCTTCCAATACGATTTGCTGAACAATAAACTATCTATTTATTGTTCACCTATTGGCTGTGGCTAAATTTTTGGATTTCTTCCATCCGATATTTACAGCTCAATGATTTGTCTTTAAAAAATAAGATTCAGTTGCTAAAAGTGTTATGAGTCTATTGAGCTATAATAATCTTTTCTCTCCGTTTATGCAGATTTAATAACAAATAGTTCTTAAGCTTTCTTCCAACTAACAGGGTGTCTATTTATTTATGCGCCTTTCGCCTTTAATTTGGGTTGTTCTGTCCACGCCAATAACTCAATAATATTAACGGTCTTAATACCAAGTTGGCTTTCAGCTATATATAATACGATGCGATCTTAATTGACCATAATGAAGATGGAAAACATTTTCTATTTCATTTCGACCAAAGTAATTTTAAAAAACACTGCACACATCAAACAAACTGCGACGCGCTTTTACTCATGAGGCATTGCAGGCTAATCAAAGAGCACGTCTAAGCGGAAGATTGGAAAATTTGGATACACCACTGTCGCGCCACGTATCCATACGAAAAAGGACGCCCTCACAGCGTTGGCAATCAGCGCGTAGAAAGGCTCGAGTAAGGATTCTACAATCCTGCATGAGCTTTTCCTTTCCACGTATTTCAGCGCTATTTTCTTTATTTGGTCTACAATAGTAATTTTTCAACTTTTTCTCTAGAAGTGGCTTAAATAAATATTTTGTCATCAGTGTATTTTAATAATTTACGTAATTCATTACTGCAATTATGTCAGGCTAGCGCGCACGTACAGTTTACTAAATAATAATGCTTACACTTTTATCAAAACACAGCGAAAACAAGGAACGTGGCATACTGCTGCTTATGCATAGACCAGAGGATGTGTCGTATTTTATCTTTTAATTTGACAATCCTTTTTTATTTTTTATATTTATTAGAAAATCATTTGGTTTGCTAGCTGCTACGTATTAGTTTGCCATATTTTAGATCCCGTCTACTGAGCCGCAACCAACGCAGCCAACTGAAAGGACACCTGTACGTATTCGAAGTATCGCTTTTTCAATTTTTTCGATACACATTCAAAATAAGCATCAAAATCTTTTGTACATAGAAAACTATTTGTTTAATGCTGACACCATTTTTGATAATAGTACTATATGCTATTGTTTTGTATTCACGTTTTTGCTATAGTCATTTCTTATCTTTCAACTTTGCACTGCATTAAGCTTTCCTATTCAACTTGTAAAATTTCTCTATAGGTGCAGGTTTTAATGTTTCGTGCGAATTTTTATATATTCTGTAAATAGAAATGTCGATACATTTTATTAGTAAAAGCTTATAATTTTCATTTTTATTAATTTTGCAACTTCATCGTTACTCATATCAATTAAACGATAAGCATTTTCACTTTTCTAGATTAAACTGCAAGCCACATTAGATCAGGCAATTTTATAGATATGTTAAAACCAAACAAAATCCTCAGAGAATTTCGACTACGAAATTTTATAGGGGGTTATTTTAATAATAACAAAACCCAAATAGTATTTAAAATATTTTTCACAGACCAAAACACTGTTATTTTTCGTTCGCGCGGTTAAATCAGTTCATTATTTTTTTTTTGCAAAAGTAAAAAATCATAAACATGATCAGTATGGTAATTAAAATTAGATTTTTTTTCGTATTTACAAAATAATTATCCAACGGAAGCATTCGTGCGTCGTCGTAGTTAAATGGTAATAGTAAAAATATACATACGCAAACATGACTATTTTTTTATTTGCAAAAACAAATATAATTTACGTTATTTTGCATTGTGCAAAAAGAAATCAACTCTTAGATTTTTATACTGTTTAAATACTCTTTTACAACTTGCCTTAAAATGTCACTGAAGATTTTGTTTAATTTTGCCCAATTTCTAATTGTATTTGATTAACTGGTTTTTTGATTAAGTAAACACTATTTCATCAATGTTTTTAATCGCAATAAAATTTTTCCTGGAAGTTTAGTTTATTTTTATTAAACTCACTCGACTCAACGTCAGCAATCGTAGGTTTTTTTCTCTAAACAATTCTATAAATCCAATAGCTAATGAGATTTGGATCTGGACGAACCGGACTGTTGCAAGATTCGACTGGCAGTGTGATCGTTCAAGATGGGCAGCAAGAGGACAGTATTCAATTGCAATCACTTAGCGAAGGTTGATATTAAATTAATAATAAATTTCCGCGTGATAGATAGTCGTGAATAATTACTGAAACAATTAACTAAAGGTGTTACAGAGGATCAACCTGGTATTATGGAGCATATAGTCATGGCAGTATTCTCAATTTTTCAACTTGTCGTCAATTCATCTTATTTGGCTACAAATATCATTATGATGGTACTCAATTAAAAATCCATTACAGAAGACTTTACTTAGATACCATAAGATTCAATTGCTTAGGCTGAATTGATACCATTGTTTTTAGACTTGGAGCATAATGTATCATAGCTGGACAACTTTTGCTCTTCTACTGTGGGCGTTAATTTTATGGATGGTACCAAATAAACGATCGTCAATGATGAAGTGTTCTCCTTTCATCGTTTTATATTGCACAATTTTGGTTCTCATTCAGTATGTCTACAGTATGGATCTGACCGAAGCTGAATTGCCAACAAAAATTTATGGGATCGAGATGTCTGATATAGGCTTTCTGAAACAAGACAAACTTAGCTGCTGGCATCTTGTAGTCAAGGTATGATGATCTATTACATGAGCGATTATCAATGGGTTCGAGTTCAAAGAGTGCTTTACAGTGCCTGTTCATGACGATGTTCTGGATAACAATGAGACAATACACAGCGGAGAAAATGAGACAACGACGCTCGTCGGCACTACGAGACATGGTAGCGCCTCTTCATGTGTCAGTGTCGACCGCGACAACGGCTATGAATAACCAAATCGAGCCCGAGATCAAGAGTAAATTCATGAAGGACGTCGGTGTTGTTGTAAAAAGGCTATTGACTAGATTCTGGATTGCCATCGTGGCTATAATGCTGTTTACTAGCGGCATTACCGGCGAACGCATGACCCTTTTCCGTATCATCTACATGTCTCTATTTTTAATTTTCATTGTCTCATTCCAGGTAATAAGAATTTCGTATGTGTCGCTCAGAATAATCAATGTGTTGCTTATATATGTATACATTTCTTGCAGCTATCTTGGAAAGTGTGGAGGAAAATGATGTATGGCTTTTGGATCACCGTTATTGCATACTCAGTTATAATGTTGATTTTAGTTTACACTTTTCAATTTCCGACAATCAGCCGCTACTGGCAGGACTATCTTTATGTAACTCCCGAACTGTAAGCAATATTATTTCTGTACTTTCACTGTTTCCTCGAGTGAAATAACTGATCATCAATTACATTTTCCAGACAAAGTGACATTGGCCTAATTAAATATGAGCAAAATAACTTGTTCGTCGGGCTTCTCCCGCCTACATTTTTTGTAATAATTACTGTTCTACAAATACATTACTTCCACGACGATTTCCTTGAAATAACAAACATCGACAGGGTGTATGTTCAACCACTTATCCTTAAAAACCTCAGCATTACAAGTCTCTAAATTAATTTTTACAACATTAAATTGATACTATAGGTCAGAAACTTCGAGAAAAGATAGTTTGGGTCACTCTCCAAGTACTGCTCCCATAGTCTCGCCGACTGAAATTTTTGCATCTGAGCGTGACGAAGAACATCACATATTTACTCTCAAAGAGTTGAAACGTGAGTTTTATAATTGAAAAATGTTGATAAAACTCTTTCTTGAAATTTAACAATTGGCATTTTCTAGGCATGTCAAAACTGGAAAGGATTGCGCTGATACGGAAATTATCCACTCATCTATATAATTTTTATAATCATGTATGGCTCTTCATGGAAGTACATATGCAAAAGATTATTTTTATTTCTATCGCTCTCATGTGCATCGGCGACGTAAGTTCCTCTTCAAATACGACTAATTGTCTTTACATTGACAGTATTCTTGTAACAAATACTTATCTCTAGGTGTGCGCCATCAATTTTTTCTTTATGTTGACCGTAGCAGTAGGTATTAACTTCAGGCGTTCATTGCAAATCGTAGTTATAAATTTCATGGCCATGACAATAGCTGTTTTAATGGTCATAAAAATGCTTTATCAAATTGAATATATTCACCACCATAGATACGACACGAATTGCACGGTAAAAATATTATAATTTCATTTCGAATAAACGTGTGAATATCACATGCAGCATGTTGGCTAAAACAAGCTGTTTAAGTAATTAATATAATGTTTAGGATACGAATGGCACGTCAAACAGCACCTGGAAAGGTAACAATACAGCAGCGTGGATTGGATTTAGCAAGACTGCAAATGCAACCGAAAACGACAGTGTTGAACCGACATTACCGAAGCTTCTGGAAGGCTACATCGGTATTATAACGGTGACGACCCTACGAGCAATAATCGCAGTCCGTCAATCGTTCCATCGGCAAGAGAATGGGGAACCGTTGGAGACGCCATCGGTCATGTTTCCGAAAATCAAGCGTGCCGATGCCGACAAAGGAATCGTATCATGTATCAAATTCTTATTCAATTACGGTTTCTACAAGTTTGGTTTGGAATTCTGTTTGATGGGCACTGTCGCGCTTATTGGTATCCGATTGGACTTCTATTCCCTATTATATAGCATATGGCTGATGATATTGTTCTCGATGAACCGTAAAACTGTAGCGAAAGTCTGGCCGTTTCTGAAAGTGTTTGCAGTCGTGCTGCTTCCGTTGCAATATGCTTTTGCCGTTGGCCTGCCTCCCTGGCTATGCATTGGTAATTGGCATACATGTCTAGCTAAATATTAACGAATTATGGAGTAGGATTGCATATAAACTCAATTTATTCATATGCCTTTTATCAGGATATCCCTGGAGTGAAACATCTGATCAACCTAACAAATCTCTGATAGGATTACGAGACTGGATGTTTTTGCCAGGCACAACTTTCGACACTCAACCCAACGTAAAAAAGCTGATATGTAAGCAGCGAACAGTATGTGAAATACCTCGTTGTAGATTTTTATTTATATTATTTATTTTGTAGGTGATGTCATTCTACTGATCATGATTGTTCGACAAAGCTTAGTTTTTCGAATCGAGCAGCGCAGCGATACAACTGGACAAGAATACGCAGGTGGCCACAATTATTCGGTGTGCAAGGACATGGAAAAGCCGAATTTCATTAATCCCGTCAGAGACTACGTTTCGCAAATTCACAATTGGTTGGACGTGTTCAAGCGCGGTAGCATGATGAGTCTCATGTGGCTAACATTGTCCATCATGTTTTTGGCTGGCACAAAAAGAAACAATTTGTTCTCTCTGGGCTATCTGATTGGCGCTTTTGTATTTTTATGGCAAGGTAGCGATTTCTACTTGAGGCCCGTCAAAACTATTCTTAAATGGTGGAATATACTGATTGGCTACAATATTTTCGTGATATTTTGCAAGACGATATTCCAAGGCATCGGATGTGTATTAATTGAAAAGGTACATTGCAATATGTCATGTCGTTTTCGGTTCTCATTGAAAGCACTTATTTTTAATTCTTCAATCATTTGTCTTTTTCATCAGCTGGTAGACCATTGTAGAATCATTCAGTTATTGGGCATAGGATGTCTTGACAAGTTTGAATCACAGTTTACATCTGGCGAGAAATGTCATGTAGACCGCGAGGACGTGGGCATGGTCTGGGATGGGTTGTGCTTTGGCTTTTTACTCATTCAGAAGCGTTTGTTCCGCAGTTATTACTTCTTCCACATAGTAGACGAGACAAAGGCCATGAGTATTTTGGCCTCTCGAGGTGCTGAGCTATTGGAAGAGTTTCATCAGAAGCGAATCGCCGAACAGGAAGAAATTGAGAGAGCAGGTCTGCAGAAAATAAAATTTAAAATGGACAAAATCAAGGCCAATCAGCGCAAGATCCAAGGACAGGGTTACAAAGAGCCTAAAACTCATCACATCGGTACGTATTATCAATCTGTAACCATCGGTAACTCGAGAGCGTTGTCGAACCGCGTGAAAAGTTGAGCGAGAAGATGGGATGGGGAGAGGAAGTGCAGTCGGTAGATAGAGTAGATTGGAAGTTGTACTTAAATTAATGGATCCGTCCACGAAAAATGTTGGAATAAGGTGAAGCACCGTTGGCTCGGACTTCGAGCATGTCGTCATGCATTTCGTCGACTCGCACTCCGCCGCAAGGCTATCAAACGCCGATCGACGACGATGACGACGACGGCGACGGCGGCGGTGCCAGGGGCGAAGATGACGCGCTACCTCTGACTCCGGCGGCTTCGTTGCTGCAAGCGCCGTCGCCCAACTCGGCGATAATGACGGTGGGCCTCGAGGGCTACCTCGAGCCAGCGCGCATATCTTTTGGCTCTCCGCCGAGCAGCGAGCTCAACCCTCGCGGGCCTTCGCCCGACGACACCTTCCCGGTGTTCTCGCCTCCGCCTCGCGACACTTATCGACAGAACGAAGACGTCCGCAGGAGGCACAGGAGGCAGTCAAGTGTAGCCGACAGTTCATGGGCCACCCACGCGCCTAGAACCTCACGCCGATCCATCATCTCCACGACTTCGAGATCTCATCACACATGTAACCGTCTCGTAGTAACCTGTCGCGGCTAGCTACTTCGTCCTCGATGTCAATCAATTTTACTAGCAGCTTTGTCACCTTGCTGTCTCTGATCTGTACATAAGCTTCCATCGAGATTCGCCTCAATCCAAAGGAAATATATTCTACTATCTGGATGTCGTTCTGCAAATTTTACGATAGATCATGTAAATACACATCAATCACCGTCAATATCCATATGTACATGTCTTTCTATTTCAGGCCCCTGGTCGTGCGAATTTTCTCCCTCATTATTAACTAATTATCCATGTTTTTTTGTACTTTATTTCTTTCCAGATTCTTTGTACGAACCGAGAGATCGGCCAACACATAGGCACAGACTTCCAAAAACTCACGTAGAGGGTAAACTTGACATTGAACATTTTTACAGCCCTACATTCCTTGTTCACTTCACAGCCCAGCAGTATCCTGATAACATACTTATACATACATTGTACAGTTTCGAGATTACGTAGACATTAAATCATTGTTATTGCTGTAGTACATACGTAGATTTACATATCAAAGCATGCACTTCACTAATATTTATCGTCGTTGTAGTCCAGTCTTCCTGTCATTTAATCTAAGCTTAAGCTCAATACTTTCATTGCTTTTGACCAATTAATACTAATATTGATAAAACGTTAATTTGAGTATTCTTCTCCAGCTATACGATCGGGAGATTACTACATGTTTGATGATATGGATGATGATGACTTGACCGACTTGTTCCCCGAAAAAGATATATCTGAAGAAGAAAATCGACGACGTGAACGTGAACAACGTACTCGTCGTATGACTGTTTCAGAGGTCAGTTTTGTGAAACTCCATTGTTATTTATTTAACGAAGAACAATAACTCTTTCGTTTTATTTCAATTATTTTTCCACAACTTTACACGAATAGGTCACACTTGTACACTTGTAACAACGATAAAATTATTGTTCATACAAGACACTATTTTCCGCATAATCAACGTATTAAAATTTTAATGTGCTTGTGTTGAACCAGTTGGGGAGAAAGATCTAGCAGAGTATGGCAACTCTGAGGTTGTTCAGCACAAACATATTACAATTTACGATGAATACACAACACTAAATAGACATATGCAATAATTCAGTTTGTTTAACTTTGCAATAGTTATTTGCTAGAAACATTTGCAAATGTCATGAATGTCTTGAAATGCAAGATCTTCTAAATGTCCTGTTTATCCTTCATGCATTAAATATGTTTGCCCCTTGAAATTGCTTAACGATACAATTTCCTAATTTGTTGGCATGAATATTTGTACTTTATTAGAAGAACCAATTTGAAATGTTACATTTTCAAAGTATTTCTTCATTAATAGTGTTTCATTAGCGAAAATATAATTATTTTAATATCGATAGATAGTGAACTGTTTGCAATAATTAATTTGACATATTTTATTAAATTCAATTTGGAGCACATCAGAAGGTGAATAATTAAAAAAATTATAGCAGATTGTGCGTCATGATAACTTCCTTGCATGTGTCATACGTTGATCGCTCACACATATAACACTAAGATCTAGAGCTGTTCGCACAGCGGTATATCATTAAAAAAGATGGATAAAATTGAGGCGTTTGAGTCGTGCCTTTGCAGCTGATGAACACGCTGATTAAAACCGACATTGAAATAGCAACGCATGTCGCGTTGTACGGAGGAACACATAAGGACGCCCTGAAAATGCGACGTAGGAGTGTGCCGCTGACCCGCAAGAAATCATCCATGTCCTATCTGAGTGCTCGTTCCGATACCGACACTGCCGCGGCTACCGATGTGAGATTGTCCTCCACAAATCCTGCATGATATACATTCGTCTGCTAATACTCTCTTTGGCTTAACAATGACGTTATCTGTCAATACACATTCTCTCTTTCTCGTCACGCATTCCTTCATAACTTCGTTACTATTTTTTCTCTTATCCTTTACAGTTTCCATCATGTGTATTTGCCCATACCTTTTCTAGTCTAAATTGTATCAATTGTACAGCTGGTTGGGGTTGATCGAGCCGAGAGTCGACGCTTTTATTCTCGCATACATATTTATTTTCATACTTTTTTTTATTGTCAAGCTTTATTATATTATAGGAAATTTTCCCGTGCATGATTCAATAATTACATTGAAATACTTGTTCATGTTACTTATTGCAATAATGTGCGATCCAGCTAAACGAATTGTACTGAAATATGACATTGTGTACACTAATTAACTTTATATGTTGTAGTTTAATCTTTTTCTAATGGATCTTACATAAAATTTAATATTTTTCTATTTTTTTTAATTTACAAGTTCCGGTACATATGGCAAACATAAGCTGCTTTGTAATATTAAAGTAAACGTACAATTTTTTAAATTTTATTTTATTTCAAGAATAATTCTGGTTTTGGAAAAAGCGAACAACGTGTAGATTTTTCAAATATTGCAAGCTTATGCTATTCATTAACTTACGTAACAAGATATGTGTAATTATACTCTGCACAGTAGTTATAGATGAAACTATCGAAATTGATCAATGACAACTGCATCCAATATTGTTCAAATATTCAGCTGACCTATTGATATGGGTTTATAGCTTCCTGAACAAGTAACTACAAGTTCTGGCGATGAAGATCCAACGGAACGTGAAATTGATGGCGAATTGGATAAAACTTCAGAAAAGGATAGTGTAGGATCTAAAATGAAGGATGCAAAAGATACAAAAATATCTTTGCTTACTTATTTCAAATTCTCGTGGGCTTTCATTAATAGTACTATGGTATCTCTGACAAAATATTTGAATCGGTACTCCAATGATTATCGCTACGTAAGAAAAGTATTGGCCAAAGAGAAAAGGCTACTAAAGGTGAGTCTTTTTGAATCATCAGTAAATTGTCCGAACGTGTTACCTGTAAACAAAAGCGTTCAAATTTGAAAACTCTTTATAGGCCAAGCCAGATTTTCGTATGGGCACTCGCCTTGGCATAAGTCAAATATGGCAACCATTACCCATAGTCAAACAGAGGTAAGTTGTGATTGACAATTACCTCCATACTATTGTAAAGCAAACCGAAGTGCTTCTTTCAAATCTAGTAGAAGCATATGTGTATGATAAAGACATTTTCAAAGTTACCCATTATTATAAAAAAAAATAAAATTGTTTACGAGTGTACATAATTAATATTAGAATATTCTTCACGAAAGTCTGATAGTTTACATTAGGATCACGCCAACAGAATATTTGTCAATTTTTATTTTAAAGAACAAATTATGCTTGTGTGTGAAAATGTTCATAAATTGTACATTATTAGATGCGAGTAGTAACGCTTGCTTTAATAGATTGACAGCTAACGGGAATTCAGATGACGTCATTGAAGATCCAGGTGAAGGGCCGAGCAATAGAGATGACAATAGCGGGAAAAGGTAGGCTTTTTTTGTAGAATTTCTTGGAATTATTATAATCGGACATACTTCGCGAAATTTGAGCATACTTGCAAACATGGTACACTGATTGAAGTACCGCGGGGCTCATCGAAAATTCACTAAATATTTGATTGGCGCATGCGAAAAAGTTTCTGGTTCGTAGAACAACAATATTATTCAAACTATAGGAAGCAGAGCTCGCAGTCAATTCCACACATCCAAATTTTAGTTCCAAGTTTGGAGCGAGGATTGGACATATCCTCATCTAGGTATAAAAACTGAACTGCATGAAATTGATAACTGTGCTAGTGGCACAGTGTCACGCAATTGTACAGAGATGTTTTTAAATTTAATAGCAATCAACGTGCTTTACTTTTACCATACGCATGTGACATATTCGCAAAATAATAACCGTCTTTCTCGCATAATCTCGAGCAAAATTGCATAAGAAGACGTATTCAACTTTGTTGCTACGATATTGTACCGCTTGTTGATCAATTTTAATTATTCCAATCGCATTTCTTGTAAAAAATAACAGAACTATTGATGCTTCTGTGTATCAGAGAAAAGATGTAATATGTGGATTGAAGTTTATTTGTAATTTTAAGATATCGAAAAAACATACGATTAAAGAAATTCAAAGTGCATAAATCTACAAAACGTACAAGATCACATGGAGAATCGTATAGTGAATAATGATTTTTTTTTCCTGATAAACAGTTCGCTGTTTTCTCACACTTTACGTCCACGCAGCGAAAACGAGGATGAGGAACTTCTGTCCGAGATAAATCAGCCGCCAATCATTCAATTGGCTGCTTCTATCTGGTTTGGCATCCTCGCTCATTCAATGTTCTTATGCTACTTTATGGTATTTTTGCATCAAATAAAGAATGCATCATTTTTGTCAACGCCTTTACCGCTCATGGTTTTCTTGTGGGGCTCGTTAACCATTCCGAGACCATCAAAGACTTTTTGGGTGACAATTATTGCTTACGTAGAGGTTAGTTATTAAAATTAATATAAGCTCCATTAAATTTATCAGACAATGATTCATTATTTGCTATCTCATTATATTCAGATCATTGTCATAATCAAGTGCATGTGTCAATCCAATGTTTTGCCCTGGAATGATAAAGAATTGACGTCCAATCCATTTGAAGTACCTAGAATTCTTGGCGTAGAGAAAAAGATAAATTATGCTTTATGGGATTTACTGCTCCTTCTCGTTGTATTTTTCCATCGGTATGTTTAATTTTAGAACAATCAAATTCATATGTATGTATGTTGCAGACAATGTGAGTAACATTGTGCACCATTTGATTGTAGATTCATGTTAAAGTCTTTGGGTCAATGGACAAGTCCATCATTGAAATCTCGAAAAGTTATTTCAACGGGACTCACGTTAGCAACGATCCATCAGCAACCAAATAGAACTGACGAGGATAAAGTTGCCCAAAAACCTGCCACGACAGAGGCAGAAAAAACTAACGCGACGTAAAAAAATGATTCATTTGTGCCAGAATCTTATGCGAAACTCAAGTATTATAATTACATTACTATTTTTAGAGCAAACGAAATAACAACTCCGGAAGGTAAAACATTGAGTTTGCAATTACACGATGGTACTGACAACGAGAACAATTCGCCACTGCCGCCTATTGGAGATAACGAACAGTTGATTGTAATTCAGGCAACCGAACGAAATCTTATAGAAGAAGACTTTCAGAAAGCAATGCGTTTAACGTAATAATCATTTTTTTAAAAGTGTAACTTTGTCAACATAGATGTTATAATAAATTATTTTTTTATTGCAGGATTATGAAATATTTCGAGCCTTTGAAAATATTGTTCAATAATATATTGGATCCGTCCGGCAAAGAAAAAACGAATGTTTACGCCTACATGTTCTTATGTGATTTCTTCAACTTTATACTGCTCATCTTTGGATTTTCAGCCTTCGGTGTAGGTTTCTGCACGCATTGAAGCTGTTTTAATTATCATTTGAATAAAAAATATCAATGAAAATTCGCAGGCTCAACAAGGAGACGGAGGTGTAGCACAGTATTTTGCAGAAAATAGGGTTCCAATGCCTTTTTTACTTATGTTACTGTTGCAATTTGCTCTCATTGTAATAGATCGAGCTCTATTTTTGAAAAAATCTCTTAAAGGAAAATTAGTTTTCCAATATTTCTTGGTAGTCGGCGTTCACGTTTGGATGTTTATTATATTGCCTAGTGCGACTGAAAGGTATCAATTAACGCTTCCTATCAATTGTCACTTTGTTTCAACAAATTATTTCTTACATATATCATAAAATATTTTCTTTAGAGCATTTAACACGAAAGTCATACCTCAAATTTGGTACATGGTAAAGTGTTTCTACTTGTTGCTGGCAGCTTATCAACTTCGACTTGGATATCCTACGCGAATTCTCGGAAACTTTTTGTGTAAAAAATACACCATTGTAAATTATACTCTTTTTAAAGGGTTTGTATCAACTGAAATTGATCAGTTTTATAAAGGCTTAACATTATTATTAGATATTAACTAACACTAGTTTTTAATGATGAATTTTTTTTAGATTCATGGTTGTTCCCTTATTATTTGAAATGAGAGCTGTAATGGATTGGATTTGGACAGACACGTCAATGACTTTGATGGATTGGTTCAAAATGGAAGATATTTTCGCAAATATTTATCAAATCAAAGTAATAAGCTGCGTCAATAGGTAATATTTCCGACTTTGTGAGCGGCATAAACAAACAAATATTTGTTTGCAGTGTATGCGCGGACTAGAGAGTGATTACCCTCAAGAACGAGGTGTAAAGAAAGCGCAAATAAGCAAATACATGGTCGGAGGTGGTGCTCTCATTGTGATGATTGGAATGATTTGGTTCCCTCTACTTTTGTTTGCTCTTGGTAGTACAGTTGGAACTTCCAATCTGCCTACCGAAGTCACACTTAACATCAGAATAGGCTCGTATGAGCCAATTTATACTATAGCTGCCCAGAACAGTTCGATAGTACGATTTAACGAGAGAAATTTTAACAAACTACGCGAATTGTACGAAATGACTCACCGCGACAGGCCGGCCGTCACTTTCTTGGAGAATTACATAAATACAGATGTTGTAGTCGTTCGGCTAAGTCCGCAATCTGGAAAATTGTGGACCATTTCGCCGCCAGACAAAGCTAGGTACATACAACTGAGTATTCGCCTACTAATATAAAATTACATTGTACTAGAGGGGTTGTTTATTGAATTCGTAGACTTAAAGAAGAGCTGCTGGCGAACGATACAGTGGTAACTGTTTATGTAGAGTGGACAGTCGAAAGAAAGCCAGCCTCCAAAGATCTCTCTGGCATAACTTCGAAAGTGCATGACTTCGCACTGCAACCATTCGTCAACGGAGTGAAAAATCCAGTCAGACAGGCTATCGTCGATGCACTGAACGGTGTTGGCTTTGCGCCATCTCCGAGTATCACGATCGTAGCTACAGAATCTGACAATTCGACCGAGGTTTCACTCTCAAACAAAACCACCACTAAACCCCTGGCAAACAACACCTCGGGTGTTTTGTTGAGCAATGCACTGCCTTTGTTTCTCAAAGTAACGAGCAATAGTGTTTCCGTGGTGCCACAATTGATGAAACCCTTGCTCAAGAGTGAGTTGCACGCCACGTTGAACGCTCGATTTGCAATAAATTAAAAATAACATCTTCATTTGATATTACTCTAGGTAAAATCGACATCGATGATGAAGATGACGAGTCAAAAAGTTATCTGTATCGAGATATCAGCCTGGTTGTCGCAAATAATTCGATAAATCAACAGTGGTTCACTATTCATGAGAATTGCAATGACAGTGTGGCCGATACACTTGTAGTGCCACTAATGGATTGTTCATTCATATCGATGTATATGTTTAATGATAAAATGTTTCCGGAAAGTCTCAGTTTTATTAGTGGCTTAGGGTAAGGTCTTGCTTTAAATTTACTCTCTCGACTGGGTATATATCAACTAACGTTAGGGATACCAATTTAAATTTACATTTCCAGTATATTTGGTCTCTACACTACTGCTGTCATACTCTTTAGCAGTTTTATCAAGAAAATGGTCAGTGACATGGCTCCAAAGATTATGTTTGAAGATTTGCCTTACGTCGATAGAATTCTAAGGCTTTGCTTGGACATTTACCTTGTCCGTGAAAGCGGAGATTTATGCCTCGAAGAAGACCTATTTGCTAAACTTGTTTTCCTCTACAGATCACCAGAAACATTAATAAGGTAATTTAAATTTTTAGAACAATTGCTTCTGCAGATAAATTATTTCTAACATAAATGATTTCCAATAATTTTCAAGGTGGACGAGGCCACCTGAACCTGGCGAGCAAACCGATGGCGAGGACGACGATCAAAACTACAACGAGATCGATGATGATGGCTTGGCAGATAGAGATGACGGCCAGGAAAGTCAATTAAGGAGATTGCCAGTTGGAAGACATGTCGAATGAACTTCTTTCTTCAATGAACATGGCAAAGTGTTTGTGTAACATATTTAATAAGTGTTTTCGTAATCATTGTAAAAATGTTTTTAACTCGATTGTCAATTTTCGAGTACTTGTTTAAAGAATCGCTTTTGAGTGAAATGGAGAATTTGTAGACGTAATAGCAGAGCTTGTTTTTTTTTAATAATAGATGTCAATTAAGTTGGTAGGTAAAGAATAGTGCAAGGATGGAAGTATGCAAATTACGTGAGCATTGAGTGAATATGAAGAAATTGTATTTGTTGAGATACAATGTCTCTTTGAACACAGTTCAATTTAAAATGTGCAAGCTCATCTTTCTTTTCTAAGTATAATCCATTTTTTAAATGACTTTTGTATTTTTGTTACTGGATTCATCTAAATCATTGTCACAAAAATCATTAAATTGCTTTAATTTTTTATTTTTATGAAAACGTGTAGTTACTGTACATTCATCAAACATTGTACATATTATAAACTTTATAACTTAATTACATGTATTATAAAATTACAAATTGTGTTTTAATAAATATTACTATTTGTGTATAAAACAACTTAAAAACATGAAGGCACTTGTAAAACGTTTTGAAAAAATTATTGGAATTGTTAGTAGCAGTTTCCATCAACTAAATCAATGTAAGTATAAGATAGCTGTAACAATTTACTGCTGCAATTCTTTTAATTTTAATTTCAATGATATATTTTCTTCTCTAATCAAAGCCGTCTCTTCAATCTTTTTCTGTAAGACTTCATTTCTAGCACGTAAAATAGAAATATCTTCTCTCATTCTTTCATTTTCTTCAACTAAAGCTTTAATGTTATCAAAATTTTTGTGCAAATTTAATTCTCTAACTAAATCATTTGTTTGCATCATCAAGTGTTTGATTAAATTTGCTTGAGAGTTGATGTGTAAATTTTGCATTGCTCTTAAAACTTTTACAGTTTCTTGCTCAGTGTATCTACTTACAAGATCCTTAACAGCACTGAGAAACATCACTGGATCAGCTTTCTCTAAAATGTCAGATTTCTTTACATGCCCATCTGAGATTCTGTGATTAGAATCTTTCTTTAAGTCAGCATGTGAACCATTTTCTTTTGATGAACAAGAATCTATCGATGGTCTAATATTTTCTTTACTATCCAAGTATTTACCAGAACCTCCTGAACTACCTGAGCATTTACGATCTTTTGTAGTTTTGTTATCTTGTACTTTTGATATTGCTTTCTGGTCTGGTTTTGTTTGATTCTCTATTGGTCTCATAAGCTTTTCATTCCCAGAATTCTTTTTCTCAGACTTTGGAGTAGAACTCAATGGCTTAGCTTCTTGCCCGGATGATCTTCGAGGTTCTTGACTGCCACTACGTCGACTCACTTGAAGTTTAGGTACATTGGAAGAAGATGAAGAAATGATTTTGTCATGCTTTGTTCCTTGATTATCACATTCATTTTTCATGGAAACATTTCTTGATGGAGACAATGCTTTTCTTGTTGTAATATATCGATTACTAAATTGCTGAGTACTTTGATTAGTTGGTGTATTAGAACTCTTTGGAATCAGATCCAAATCCTCCAAAAATGAGTCATTCATGTTGATTTATCAATAAATAATTTTATGATACCTACACAAAGAGAACTTTAATTATTTCATAAGAAAAATTAACCTAACTTTGTATAATAAAACTTCGTTACAATAAAAACTTACATTTATTTAGCAGCGATGAAAATTGAATTATGCAAAATTGAGAGGAGATTTAGAATCATTTACAAATGGCACATTTTCATTTCAATACTTTCCGTTACGTTTGAGCAATGCATTCTGTAACTGAAGCTTCACGTCTGCGAACACTTGTAATTCTTTGATAACAGTATAGTTAGTTACAGATATCTTATATTTTATATTAACAGAAATAAAGACTCATAATGACATTTACAGATTCCTGTGACTAAAACAATAACACACTATACCGTATAACGGTGGAAGCGTGAATTAAAATTGAATTTTTCGACTATTTTCGATTCCTCATTCTCGATCAGCTATTTCAGTTTACCTATTTATTCTATACGTGAATAAGTTCAGGTGGCACTAAGGCCCCGGTTACATAGGTACAATACGGATGCAGACGGATTCGGACGCGAATCGCAACTCTAGTAATATCACTAAAAATATCTAGTTCAATTATTTAGTACCAACACTACCGGTAGTGAGCAAAAGTGACTGTTGTTTAAAACTGTAGCGCCGAACGTACCACATTTAATGAACGCTTATCTAACCTTTACATTATTGCAGTCTATAAGATGGCAAATGATAGAGAATTGATAGACTTTCAACTAAAATTAGTGGAATTAGGCCTTAATTTTATGGCAGTACTTGAATATATGAGAAGAAAAAGAAAATATATATAAATGATATGTATTAATCATCCCAAAAGCTTTTTTTACATTAGCATACTCATCAATAAGCAATATTCATGAGAATTTGAAAAGTAAATTGTAGACCTGACATTTGAACATTAAATGTGGTACGATCGGCGCTACAGTTTTAAACAACAGTTACTTTTGCTCACTACCGGTAGTGTTGGTACTAAATAATCGAACTAGATATTTTTAGTGATGTTACTAGAGTTGCGATTCGCGTCCGTATCCGTCCGCATCCGTACGTATCATAGATTGGGACCGGAGCCTAAATGACGAAAGAACTTAGCGGGAAATCGACGAAAACTGATCAGGAAAATTTATAAAGCAACTGCGCGTGATTGGCAAGGATGTCAAAATTCATTAACAACTTCACGTACATAATTAAAATTTTGTTAATAATAAAATTCAAAAATTGAACATTCTCAGATCAATAGAAATTAAATCTGCGAAGCGTTTAAATTTGGTTTTTATAATAGTCAATGTATTGAATCATCAGCAAAAATCATATGCAATTTTATTTAATCTAATTAAATAAAAAATTCATTACAATGATCTGTTACAAAGAAATAAATATTATAGCGATACACGCATCTGGAAGATCGGTATAGATATAATGTAGACTCAAGAAGTATACTGCCCTCTGAAAAAGGCTGTGTCCATAATTATGGTTTATTTTTCAAATATTGAGCAATGCTAATTACATTAGCATCAACAATACCTTAAATTGCCAAAAATGCCACTGCAAGTAAAATTGATAGGGATGGTTTATTTTTTCAGTAACCAATAATTTTAAGTACTTCTAACAAATAGTTAGCATGACGGTTATTCCAAAAAATAACCCATTTCTATTAATACAACTCTTATTATAAGGCCGCAATTGCTCTTAGTGAGACTGAAAGAGTAGTTGCTAAAACCAAATGGTTTTCACGTTTCAATTTCAATTACATGGCGTAGATCTATTCAATCAACTCATTTAAAAGCCCCTCTGATCTTCCATAGTTATACAAACTAATGTGAAATTAATGGGTCGACTTTACTTAGAGGTTTAACCGCGTATAGTGCCCGCAACTCCAAATAAATATATAGGTCAATAGATTTTACTGGTCAAAGTATTGTGAATCAATTTTGGATCGTCCGGTCTATTAGTTTCTTTAAAATAAATATTTATAAATATTGTTTGAAAATAGTATTTTTTAGTTTTGGAGATTTATTTACGTGACTGAGCAAATAAAAAATGACAGCTTAGTATTATATTACGGATAGGGGATCCTTAATATGAAATCTGAACGTGATAAACAGATTTTATACGAAACGGGAGCCAGTAGATGATCTGAAGGCAGTCATGAAATGATCTCGAAATGAGCTATTTTATTCGACCTGCTGTACGAAACAGAGATGTTGCGGAGTCACGGCATAGTTCACGTTTGTTATTTCACTTTGTGATACCCACAAGGCGGTTCATCCAGTTTATCATTATTTATTCATCATCCGGCCGCTCGCGGGTGACGAGGATGACTGATAACTCTTAAAAAAAGTATTGTGAACAGACATTCGCGCGTAACAGACAAATGTTAAACGCCCACCGGCTCTCATTTGGTGTCCGAAACTATACGTAACGGAACGCAGAACCGTGACATCATGAAGTCGTTGTTAATTGTGATTTTTGCATTTACGTTTTGTGATTTCACATTGGCTTTTACCAACGTTTATCCAAAATTGAAATCTCATCCTATTCCTGCGAATGAGGATGTCGGAGATCCACTCTTTCTAACACCTCTGATAGAAAGTGGAAAGATTGATATGGCCAGAGCGAAAGCCATTGTGCAGCACAAAGACGTTACTGATGTCAGCAGCTATGCCGGATATTTGACTGTTAATAAAAAGTACAACTCTAACTTGTTCTTCTGGTTTTTCCCTGCACAGGTAATCAATTTTTAAGCTATAAATGTTACTCGTTATAATTTTTGGTCTATTAATCTGATTGCTCTTATATAAAATAAAGCTTAATAATTTTATCATATTATTTTCGTCACCTAAATTATTATCACTTTGCAAGATAAGCTCTTATCACGTAACTAGTTAGGTGTAACAAGTGGTTAGTGATGTCATTAAATAATGGTCTGTTGTTGATTCAGATAAATCCAAAAAATGCTCCAGTTGTATTGTGGCTGCAGGGTGGTCCAGGGGCAACCTCTTTATTCGGTCTCTTCACTGAAAATGGACCCTTTAGTGTCAGTAGAAACATGACACTCAAGCCCAGAAAATACTCTTGGAACATCAACCATAACATGATTTACATAGACAACCCAGTTGGTACAGGCTACAGTTTCACTGATAATGATTTAGGGTATGCCATAAATGAAACAGATATAGGCAGGGATGTTCATACTGCATTGGTCCAGTTTTTCAACCTCTTTCCGGAACTTCAACTCAATGAATTCTATGTTACTGGTGAATCATATGCAGGGAAATATGTTCCAGCTGTTTCACATGCAATCAAAGATTACAACATAAAAGCAAAGACCAAAATTAATTTACAAGGTCTTGCTATAGGCAATGGTTTTTCAGATCCGTATAATCAACTTTTTTATAGCGATAATCTGTACCAAATAGGACTTCTGGATTTTAACGGCAGGGATATGTTTAAAAAATATGAATATCAAGCAAGAGATCTTATCAGCCAAAAAAAGTGGATTGATGCCTTTATTCTGTTTGATAAGGTGTTGAATGGTGATTTAACAAATACATCATCACTATTTAAAAATTTAACAGGTTTTGACTTTTACTTCAACTATTTTTACATAAAAGAGTCAAATAGCTCAAATTATTTTTCTGAATGGGTACAGAGGCCAGATGTTCGTAAAGCTATTCATGTTGGTAATTGTTCTTTTAATACAGAGACTACGAAAGTTGAAGAAATGTTAGTGGAAGATATAATGCAGTCTGTAACATTCTTTGTTTCTGATCTTCTGCAGCATTATAGAGTTTTAATTTACAATGGCCAATTAGATATTATAGTTGCATATCCATTGACAGTAAATTATCTTCTAAATTTGGATTGGCCTGGTGCTAAAGAATATAAAGTAGCTCCTAGAAAACAATGGTGGATAAAAAATGATCTAGCAGGTTATTCAAAGACTGTAGGCAATTTGACTGAAGTACTTGTGAGAAATGCTGGCCACATGGTGCCAGCAGATCAACCTATGTGGGCTTGGGATTTGATTACGCGTTTTACTCATCGCAAATCATTTTAATATTGTAAAATAAGAGGCTGTTTAATGTACTTTTTACTCTATATAATATACTTATACAACTGTACATGATTATATGATATTATTATTGCCTTTATTAGACTGTTAAGCTATTCTTGAAAATCTAAAAAATTTAATTATTGATTGCTAGTAACTCAGCTATTCTGCTTTTGTTCAAATATAGCTTTTTGATAAAAAAAGACTAACTCTGAGCAGACACACTTACACTTTGCTCCCAACACTTTTATATTTAATATTATGAAATTGGAAGTTTTCAATTATCTATTAGTGAGCCGGAAATCCTATAGATTGTACAGTTTAAATACAAGTTCCTTGTTATGTATTTAAGAAAATCTTATTTACATTTTATGCGCTTTGAAATTTTAATTAAACATGTATAAATTTAGCCTCATCGAATAAAGCACATATTTTCTCATATTTTACTTATTTATTCATTGATTATTTCTAAAGAACATTATAAAAGAAATTTTTTCAAATATTACGTAACTTACTTTCATACACAACGATATATAAATCGTCAATAATCTTTGTTCCAATGTTTAGCCTGAAAAAACAACAATGTGAATCAGTTTAGATTCATTTGTTGCAATAGTTCTTTCAAAGAATTTGTTTACAATTATACTTTTGAAAACTATCATTTGTCTGTAATTTTTCAATCGTTCAAGTTGTACTGATTTTGAAGTTTTGTTTTCAAAATTCAATTTTCGTGATATTTTCGAGAAGAAACTATTGCTCTGCAAGAGCCAAATTTGATTAACATAAGTTGCCAATTTTTGCTATTATCCCGGCATTGTGATTCATATTTGAGGCTAAAATAAGAAACGTAAAGTAACCATTATTTATATATCTATAGATATGTGCGGAGGGGCCTTAAAATTCATTGAATTTATTAATTAGAAATAAAATTGTAATGATTTGTGAACGATTACATGTGTAGATTTGATGGTCATTAAAATGATTGATATTGCTATACACGCGCAGTATAAAAAATATAGAGTGCTGAAATAAATTCTTTGCACGCTAAAAATCAGGCCAAACAGAGCGCGGCAGTCTTTGTTGAAACGAATATCACTGTGATTTTTGTCCATTTTGTGCGCCTCTCGTATCTCTATTAAAATTGACAACTATTAATCTAGATACGGCAAGATGTATTGATCGACTATGGTCATGTTCTGATGCCACATAAAATGCGGGATTCCTGGCACCGTATGAATAACAAGCTTGTTTCGCTTGTCGAGCGTCTTCAAGCCAATCAAGTCGTTCTTATACTCGACTCGATCGCGTAATTCGACAACTGTCTCGTTTTTATCGTAGTAACCAAAATGACTAGATTGCCAGGGGGTGATGACACCGTCGTCGGGTCCCCCAATGAGTACCATTTTGTCAAGTTTAGTTAAGCCCTCCTTGAAAGACGTGGTATTCGAGGTGACTTTTTCATTATTGATGAATGGCAAAAATCTGCTGTAATTGTAATACAACTCCTGCAAGGTATTGATAGAATTAGTAGAAATCGAGATGATTACGACAGCGAGATCGAGCATCTGTACTTACTTGATGATGAGGATCATTCCAATAATTTCCCACGCTGGTGTGCTGTCCGACTCTCGAATAAAACAGCTCGTAAGCCGTTTCGCAAACCAAGTTCGGGAATATCAAGTGCAAGAATTTCGCTGAGAAAGAATACGATAAAATATTATCCTACGAAACGGTCGATAAGTACAGCGAGGGAAAAATTCAGCAAAAGACGTACTTCCATACTGGCCGGCTTGAGGCGAGCTCAGCGAGATGAAATTCTTGACGTTGTGCTCGGGAAATCTCTGCAGTATGGCCCTAGCCAAAAGTCCACCTTGGCTGTAACCGATCAAATTAATGCCTTCCGGGTAGGTCGCACCTATCGCTATGATGTCGTTGCCGATCTCCTCCACTTGACGCCACATCGGCTCCAAACTGCTCCAGCCTTTGAATCTTACGGTGTTGTACGTGTCAGTTCCTGGGTGCATCTGTCGAGAGAGCGTTAATCCATTTTTTGTTTTCATTTTCACTTTTCATTCAAGCAGAACTTGCTATTTGCATTCGCTTAAACGTTTCTATTTAGATAACGCAATAGTCTAGCAGCTTACAATCTGAGCGTCGAGAGCTCGAGTTGCCGGGATCTGTTATCTGTATTTTTAAAAATACAGTATTGGCGCGATCGATCGGCAGATAGAGCGTTGACAACAAAGGCGGAGGGGAAAAGCACAGATGGAATTGACAAGCAAGCTGGGAACTCGAACAAAGGCGAAGCGAAGCAACTCACGTCTTGTATTCGATTGGAGATCATCTCCATGCTGTCGCTGCCCGTGAGGACGCCGTGAATGAGCGCGACCGGTCGATAGGCCTGTGCACCATGCTCCGGCAGTACGGCGAGCGTTAACAAGACAATCAAGCGAAAGCGCCGACGAATACTTTTCGATGTCATCGCGCCCGATCGCAGCACGCCGCTGTCGCTCTCGGGCAACTCCACAGCTGAGCTGCGGAGCCCGCACTATAAGCGCGCGTCAGACGCACAGCACTTGGCGAGCGTTCGATTGTGCAGCAACGAACAAAGCAACCTTCGGCACCGTTGTCGAGCGTCGTTCGAAAGGGAAACTGCCTTGTCGATCGCTGGCCACTTAACGGCGTCGAATTGTGCAGGGATCACTTATTGGGCAGTTGCGCGAGCAGCGACGAAGCGCGCCGGGGGTGGGAGGGAAAAAAACGACTGGAAAGCGATCCGAGTGGTGTGGGATTGGTTTGGTCAGGCGGCAGCGTCCGCTCGCAAAGCGAACGTGCTCGCGCGCCGTGGCGTCGGCTTTTCGAGAATCCTACAGTCGGAAGCGTCTCGCGGCTGGCTGAATTGCAAGTGGGGTGGAATGCGGGGCTGCATTCCTCCGCCAGCCCCAATATAATCCGGGAAAGCGCGCGAGGCGGGCTCGGCGTCGAGGAGCACGTGGCTCCGGGCGCACGGCTCCATACATCACCGCGGGGCTGACGACTGCCGAGCAGCATTGTTTCGGCCGCGCCGATTATCACGCCCTTTTGTCCGGGCGCCTAGGGGGGCAGGCGAGAAGCTCTTCCTAATCGTTCTCGCGCTTCGTTCGCCCGCGCGCGCTCGACAATGGACCGCGCGTTCGCGCTGCGGTATTTTCCGAATGGCAGTTTGCGCGCATTGTGCGGACCTGAATGCGCGTTCGCGTCATCGATGACCGTCAACCTCGATCGCCAATGGGTTTTATGGCCACAGAAGCGAGCCTCGTCCTCGAGAATCAGCGAGGCCCTCTCTGGCCTCGCGCGCGATGGCCTTTTTTTTTGCGTTTAATCAGGAATATTCGCGGTCGGCTGGCCGCTCGTTCTCTCGAACGCCAGTATATTCTACGTATCCGAGCGCGATTCCACGCCGGAAACACTCTCATCTCCGTAATGGCCCTCGAAAACTCCTTCCCTCGCTCGGTCTCTTTTTTAATTACTCGCTCGGCTGGCGCTTAATCAATTTGCGTTATTGCAACAGGAGCAAAATGGATATTTTGCAAATCGGGAGAGGCGGCAGCGCGCAAGCAGCGGCGCCGGCGGCGGCAGCAGGAAACAGCGAGGCCGAGAGATTAGCGTTAATTGCAGAGTCTTGGGGATTCGCGCGCGCTTTCGCTCTCACTCTCATTCTCTCTCGCGGTATTTGTCACTCGCGGCAAGAGCAGCCGTGAATATTAATAACCCACCCTCCGGGACGATGAATAGCTGGCAACTCGACGCTTCTCATTATCCCGACTGCTTGATTTTATCATTTTGACGCGAGTGAGAAATTAATCGAGCTCCTCGATTTACGCTCGTTACGCCATTCCGACGCGGCGCCTTTCGCCTGACTCATGCGAGTCTTTCTATTTTTTGCTCCTGTCTCTGATACGCGCGGCGGCGACGCGAGGCGAAATTGATAGGATTCGAATGGGGAAATACGCAGATATGGACGGGCGATAAAAGTGGCAGCCAATATGCCGGAGAGCCGGCATAATTCGAGAGAGCGTATGTATAAAAGCGAGGAGGTAATCCTGCGGCGGCGGCGGCGGTGGCTGCACGGGGATAGTAAAAATTCGGACACGGACGACAAGTTGGATCGCATGCCAATGGAAACCGGATCGCGATAGCGAGCGGCTCTTTCGGATATTCAAAGTCGCCGATAGTTTATTCATGGCCGCGGAGCGGCTCATATGGACGAGATATTGGAGCACGTCGAGCAATATCGCGGCAAAGTGTCCCCTAGGGGGAGCAGCGAGAGAGTGAGAGAGAGGCCAAGTGGGATCGGACCCTCCTCTCGCGCGCCCACTTTTTAGGTGTCCTTCGCGAGCCAAGAGACGACGAGTATAAGAGCAGACTCCGCCTCGGTCGCGTCGTCGAAGGTGACAGCTTCCTCCAGCTCTCGCCAATAAAATTCAAATACACTCCACTCTGCATGTTAAATTATCACACCCTCCCCATTACCCACTCCCCGCTGCCGGCTCGGCCATTTTTCCCAACAACTTGCAGTTCCGCGCGGAGAGCGCCGCAGCCGGAAAGGACTGCTCCGCGCCGAGGGATTTTCCGTTCGAGACTTCTTCGAATTGGATTTGCCGCCGCTTCTCCATCCCGCCCCCGCCACCCCCTTGCTTACTCGCGGCAACTGTCGAGCGGGCTCGCGCTCTTGAATGTGAATTGCCCGTACCCGCCGCAAGCTCTTATCCATCTCGATTACCCACGTGTCATTTCGCCGCGGAAAAACAATGCTCCCTCCCCCCTGCCTTCGTCGCTTCGTCGCAATAACGATCGGCGCTGCAGAATCTACACGCCGGCCACTGGGAACGCCCCAGATTTCGACATTACTCAACGAGGATCAAGCTGCCAACAGTGGCTATTGTTCGGGGGCCTCTTTCGCTCCGACAACTTTCTCATTTCTCTCTCTCTCTCTCTCTCTCTCTCTCTCTCTCTCTCTCGCTCCTTTCGCCTCCACCAATGTTATCAGTCGTCACAATTATCCACGCGGATTTCCCTCCTCCGAGTTTCACTTTTTCACGCCAGCGTACGCGCCAGTGCGGACGCGATTGTTAGGCAAAACATTTCCGGTGATCGAGCGGCTAATCGGCCGATCCCGCGCTGCAAATCCCCGGCTGCGCACTCTCTCTCTCTCTGTCTCTGTCTCTGCGGCGAAAGGCAAACACGTGCGTGGGGGGTCGCTAGAAAAATCAGTTTTCGAGCACGGAGCCCCCGCTCGACTCGAGTGCAGCCTTTATCGCGCGCGTCGGCCGGAGCCGCCACGCCGATTTTCCGATATGACGCGGCGATAAACGCCGTGCGCGCGACTAATTGATTTTCGCCGGGGCGCGCTCGGGCGACACCATGAATGCAGTGGCAGCAGCCGATTTGGCACTTGTTTCGCCGCTTACGTCTCCATCATTGCCGGGCCATTGTCGCGCGGGCCCCTTTTTATTTACGACTAATAAATTACCCCCCTCCCGGACCCTGCCACTGCCGACACCGCGGCAACGGAGCTGCGACGGACGCGAGGGACGGACGATTTTTCACTCGGAGCCGGCCGAGTTGCAGCTGACGAAAAGGGGTGAAGGCCGTCGGTCGCCTCCGAGTGGGCATTAATGCGCGCCGCGAGCTGAAATCAAACAGTCAACAGACTGCAATCCGCGCGAGTGCAGCGGCCAGGCCGCGTCACGCAAAGGTCAAAGCGACGCGCGGTCGATGGAAAAACGGCGACCGCGGCGGCGGCGGCGGCGGCGGCGAATTACCCTGAATTGGCAAAGTGCCGGCAGCGGTGCAGGCACAGCGCTGCCGAGCGGACGCACGAAATTAGTCTCCGTCGACCGCCACGCGCGCACGTGCGCCGCAACTGGCCGAGCCGCCCATTTGGTATTATCGTTGCCCCGCGATTTTCCGGATGCGTCAGTCCGACGGCCGGGCGAGCGCTTGGCCGGCATTGATTAGGCGTCGCTCAGCACCAATTTGCCGATCCACCGAGATTAGCGTGGGCCGACTTGAAAGCGATGCTAATTCGGCTCCGCCCCCGCTCCTATTGGAGATTTCTTTTTGCTCGACGTCGGCGCTTTAGCATATGTATAAGAGTTTAACCGGTTGGCCGCGCCGCCTAGGGTCGTCCGGCGGCGCAGCCTTGCTCCTTTTTTGCGCGCGCGCCCGCGCTCCCCGGCACTCGGTGCAGATCAAAGATTTCTTGTTCTCCCGGCCGCCGCCCGAGAACATCGCCCATGCAAATTGCCCGTGCTTGCGCTAATCTCAATCGAGACGCGGCGCGCGGCAGCCGGCTGCGAGTCGTGGCGGCGCCCCGGGAGTACGCGCCGGGTCACGTACGCGCCTCGCGCGCGCCAGCCGGATCGGCGAAAAGGCCGGCGCGCGCGCTCGACATATGGCCGCCGAAATTGCCGGCGGCCCCGGCCAGTAACAATATTTACAGAAGCCCGCCGAGCCCCCGATGTTTTGTCAAGACTCGGCCGCGCTCGCGCGAGCGCGGTGTCACTTTACCCCCCGCGATCTTTCTCTCGTAATCCGCCGTAATGCTCTTTGGAGTTGCGGCCGAGTCCCGCGGCAAGCCGGCCGAGAGAGCCCGCGCGCGCAGCGCCATTTGCATCCTCGGCGCGGCCGCCGACGCTCGCCCCGCGAGGACGGCGCGGAACCGCGCGCCGGCGATCGCGGCGCGGGCAATCACGCCGCGTCGGCTGCCCCGGCCCCGGCAAAGCCCACCTCGGATTAGCGAGATCGTAATCAGGCAATCGGCGAGCGAACGCGCTTGGGGCTGGTCGCGCATAGGTGTCAAATGTCAATCCCCCACGGGGACCCGCACAAAGCCCGCTCGCTCCGTCTTCCCCCCGTTTTCTTCCTTTCAATTGCCGAAGGGGCTCCGCTGCCGCTGCTGCTGCTACTGCTGCTGCTGGGCTGCGGCTCGCCTGCAGAGCCGATGCGCGCGTATCGATTCTCGGCTGCTAAATGCGCGTGTGGCTTGCAGGCCTGTACGCGTCGCCGTCGCCGTCGCCGTCGCCGTGGTCGTCGTCCGACGGCCGAGCCGTTCGCGCTCGCGGATGCTGCTCGTTTTTGAAAAAAGACGAGCCCGAGCAATTAGCCTCTGATTTATTTTCGGACGTTGACTCAGCCGCGGCGCGAAGCACGGTCAGAAAGGGGACGACGAGACGACAACAACGGGCGAGCGCATGAATGAGCAAGGAAGCCGAGGCGAGACGGCGCTAGTAGGCGCGATCGCGAAGGCGGCCGCGCGTCAAGATTTGCGAACGAGGCGATGCGCGTGTGAGTGCGCTGAATGAACGCGCGAGGGAGAGAAGGCGCGCGAGAGACGCGAGGTCGTGGGAATGTGGACTCTCGCTCGGCTCTGTCTCAAGCCTCCTCGCTCCAGCGCTCGGGCTTGTAATTGCCGTAATTGTCGCGAGTGATTCACACATCATCGCGGCTCGCTCGTTCTCAGCCGGCAGCCCGCGAGATCGCAGCGCAGCCCAGCCTCGCTTTTCACTTTTTGCGCGTCCGCGCTGCCCT